CGGGAGGCCGCCCCGCGAGTATTCGACCATGTATGTTTGTCGGGGTATGTTCGAAGCAGTCCAAACTGATGCATAAACCCATCTAGCATGACGCGACGGTCGTCGTTCTCCGAGGCAGCGAGCGAAGTCAGATCTAGGTTGAGATCAGCCAGAACAGTAATTGTGTCCTGGAGACGGATCCCGTCAAGTAGCTCCCGGAGTTGATCCAATTGCTCCTGCCACAGCTGCGAGCAATCGGTCCTTTGTCGATGGGGTAAATGCAAACTAATTATAAATTCCTTGCAGCCAGCATTTTTAATTACCACAGCCAGACCTGTTAAAAGAGGTTTGACTTGAATTACATGCCGCAGCGAGTCGAGAGGAATGCCGACTATGGTGCCGTGAAAACTCTGGGGGGGGAAGGTGGAGAAAACGGCATAGGAAGAGGAGCCCAAACGGACTTCGTCTTGTTCCCATCCCATGTGGGCGAGTTCTTTCAAGCCGCCCACTTCCTGAAATGCAAAAAAATCAATCCCCTCACCACCCAGCAAATCCCAACATCCTGAAACGTCCTCGAGGGTTTTACCGCGAAGATTCCAGGTACGCATGTACGTGACATGTGCATGGCAGGGCGCGCGCCCCTATGGGCGCTTGGTGATGCGGGTCTCCCAACGCTCCGGGAGGCTTTCCGACGTCAGACCTGTGGCTTTGGTGAAGGCAGCCCCCTTGATGTACCAGCCTGAGTGATTACCCCTCGCATCCGAAAGGGGGAAGTCATCGTCCTGAAGGGGATCGGGCGAGTCAGGGGAGCCCAAAACATTGATGTTACCAACGAAAAGCTTGCCTCGCCAGTCAATTTCGGCCAGGCGTTTGGTAAACCCTTGTGCAAATGTTAGTTGCTCAATGAACTCCTTAACCGAGACAATGGCTCGAATCTTTGCGCGGTCTTCGGGAGTTCTGTGTCGCTGGACCCATAGCTCTCTGCACTCTTGTCCGGGAATGCTACTAAGAAACTTCTTAGACTTCAGCTTGTCCAGGACCTGTGTTTGAAAGGCTCGCTGTTGGGGGACGTTCTTACAGTTGTCGGGGAACTGCAAGGAAACACGGACGTGAGACGTACGCGAGTAAGGGCTCCAAATGTCAAGCCAGGACTTCTCAAGTTGCATGGCCTCAAAGAAAGCTTTGGCTTCCTCAACAGCTTCGTCCCTCCTAGCATCTTCCCAGCCCCCAATTGCCAATTGGAGTTCTTCTTCGATGTTTCGCTCGCTCCTTGGACTGCTCCCTCGGGGGGATGGGGGGGCTCGCTGGGGTGTCGGTGAGCGCGAGGCAGTCCTCAAGTCTCTCACTTCTCGTTCCAGAGCTGCAAGACGGAGGTGGTGAGCTTCGCCCTTCTCGGTATGCTCTTTGAGGACGGCATCGTGAGTGTCAAGTCTCACTTTATGATTCTGAAGCTCGGATGTGAAATGAACCATCTCACGATGCATGTCAAGATGCCGCACGTTCATATCTGAAACGTCCTGCTTAATGGGTTCAAGCTGTGTGAGAAGTCTGCCTTCCAAAGCCGTCACCCAGGGGGGGGTGTCTTGGTCATAGGGCGTGGCTCTCTCTCGCTCACGTTCCCTCCGAGATCGAAAACCTGTCGTGAGAACAGGGGGGGCAGCGCTCTTCAGTTCATCGTCGTGGTCTTCCTTTTTAACAGAGAGATCTGGGTCAATGTCGAAATACTCGGGCCCCCCTCCACGTCGGGTGGGCCCACCGAAACCTGGGGCCTCGAGTCTGGGGAGTTTCGAAGGGGGAGGTTTTCGGGTCGAAGAATCGCTGCCTGAGCTCTCCCTATCGTTCTTCTTGACCACAAGACTTTCCAGAGCACTAACATGATGTCCGACCTGTCCTCCAACTGTAACCGCTGTCTTCGGTCCTGGGATGTGTTCCTCCAGCGATTCCCTCGAGGATTTATCGCGGCTCCTGGCAGGTAGCGGAACAGGCCCGGTCGAGACCGGCGATTCACCAATTCCTCCGGCGTTGGAGTCAGGGGAGGGAGTGCGGTCCTCACCTGGCCCCTCATGATCCCCTTCGTCATCTACTTCAATGCTATGATCAGCCGCTGTTTCCGCAAGCCCACGTGCTGCTACTCCAAAAGGGACGGTCGTAGCTTGGCTTAGGGAGACAGGGGGAACCCTTTCAGCTTCCTCCGTGCGAGCGGAGTGTCCCGAGATCATCCTTTTTGAACTCTACTCTAATCACACACACCGTTGCAGGCCAAGGAAAAGGAAGAGGAAAAGAGGATGAGAAGGAGGTATCGAAGCCAAAAGCCAGGTTTCGAGCCGAAATCTTGAGCCAAAAGGAATTGACTTTGGGAGGGCTGAGTGTCACCCATCTGGTGACAGACCATGTACTACGACTCACTTCAAAGGGCATGGTCTGTCAACGAGGGACTCTATATATATACAGAAAATAACACACTACAGGCCACAGTTTTTCATGCCAGTCGGGAGTGATGGATTCAAAGTGTATTCCCCGTACTTGTATAAATCGCTAACTGTCGCAAACCCCCTACGTTTAATGTTCATGTAAATTTTGCTTCAAACCTGGATATACCTGTTTATGACCTGTGCAGGTCCACATGCTTAGCGAACCTATCCAGGCATACAGTCTACTTTTCAGATAGAGGGTCGGGGGGGGTCGCCGGTGGGGGGGGGGGGGGTGCAAAAAAAAACAGGGATTTACCACCCGTTTTTTTTGTTTTCTTAAATGTTATTCCCCCCCCCCCCCCCCTCCCCTCCCCTCCCCGTCCGTCCCGCCTTCCGCCTTCCGCCTTCCCTCCCCCCTTCATGGATCCATGGACTGAGTCCCGTCCCAACCTTTCCGTTCCCTACAGTTTTGGGGCCCAGAGTAAAATATTTCCTAGCTGGTGTAGCTCAGCACGATGCAAATCCTATTTTTGGATGTTGTGTGCCATACCCGTCCAACCTCAACGCTGTTGCTATCCAAATAATATAGTCTGCTGTTCTTTTGGATCACCACATATCCAAACTAAGTTGATTGGTGCTGCGGGTCAGAACCCATTCAAACTCCAATTTCCATGTCGTGGATAGATGCCTATCCAAATTCAACTTGTTCTTAATTTATGTTTTGTGTGTAAGCACATCCGAAATTCAGTCTTTGGTGAGCCATGTCAACATCAATCTGGTATGTTTGTGGGAATATTGTCCAGAGATATTTATGGGTCAATATCCCTGCAACTTCATTTTGTTGTTATGGCACAGTACTGATTTATGTAGGTTTACTTTGATGGTCTTGTGAGTCAATACCCGGCCGGTCGAATTCAAGTTGATGCTGCTGTGGGGCAAGAAGGCATCCGCGTTTTTGACGGATGGTCAACATCGATCCAAAATTCGCTCTTCGTTCTTGAATGTCACTACCATCTAGTTTCAGTTTCTTGGCACCATATGTCCATGAACATCTTCGACTAATATCACGTGTCGATATCCATCCAGTATCAATTTGTGCGTTGGTGGCTTTGAATATCCACCGCCATCTAATATGTTCCTATGATGGGCCAATGCCTATCCAAACTGAATGTGCTGTTTCATTTTGCTGTAGTGCTGGGCACATATCCATCAAAATTCGAGCTCTTATTGTCGTGGGTCATTGCCCGTCCAGACTCAGTTGTTTCTCATTGAGAGCTAATCCACATTAAAATTCTAACTATGGTTGTTGGGTGCTTATGGCCACCAAAACGAAGTTTACAGAGGGTTAGAAGCTGCTAAAGTCCCATAGCGAGTCTTAGAGAGTGCTTTCGTGTCATGTCTTCGTGTCATGTTTTCGTTCCGTGGTATTTCCTGTGGCCCTATCAAATGTGAAGGTCGACGGGATAAAACGTGTTTCTGTATTCAGGCCCGCAGCCCATCTCAGGCTTGTGGTTGTGGGCCAATACCTGCATAAATTCATTTGGAGCTCGTTATAGCTCAGCATCCATCCAAATTAAGTTTGCTATTGCTGTTGACCCTGTCCCAACCAAATTCATGTCATTGTTGTTGGTCAATATCAGACACCATTCAGAATTTCGTGATTGTTATGTCGGGTCTACTCAATACCCATCCATATTAATATTCGTCTTAGTGTGGCTTTACAAGAAACAAATTCCACGATTTGCTGTTGGGTGCTAATGCCCATGCAAATTCAATCTTGTTGCCGTCCCAATATAGCTGATTATTCTTCTGGACCAATATTGTGTAGTTTGGTGTTCATTTGGAACACTGCCTATCTACATTAACTTAGCAAGACTTAGCTACCTAATTGATGCTTGGGGTCAGAACCGATCCAAACTGCGTTTTTCATGTCGTGGGCAAACTCACATCCAAAATCATGTAGTTCTTATGGGTCAATGCCCATCCGAATTCAGTTTTTGGTATGACATGTCAATTTAAAGTCAATAGTATTGTGGGTCGCCACATATCCATGGTCAAGTTGCTGTTGTCGCAGGACAAATACCATTCCGATTCATTCGTTGTTGCGGGTCAATACCATCCAATACTGCCTTTTGTTATGGATGAATGTCCATCCAACTTTTTGTGTGGCTGTGGAACAGTATAGATCTAGATTCACTTTGATGACATTGCAAGTCCATACCCGTCTGAATTCAAGTTGATGTTGCTATGGGTATCATATGTGCGATTAGTATAGTGGCCAACATCTATGAAAGGCACTTTGTTCTTGGTAGCGAAGAATATCCATCCCCATACAAATGCATACATATTGGAAACTGAATTTGGTATGATGGCATCCCGGATCGCTTAAAACATGTAAAAAAAACAGGTATTTCACTGCAAGAACACGGGCCTGCATTCCGTTACACTCTACACATATATATATATATACACATACACACAAGTATGCACAGACGGATACAGAAACAGATGCTTTGTATTTGTAGTTTTCTCTGTCTCTCTGCCGTATTGATAATCATGTATGTGAAGAAGATGTGCAGAAAGATTCCCCACTTGGTGCAGCTCCGAAGCTGGACTGGCAGGTGTGTTTGCAGCGAGACGCCTCTTTTTTGAACGATTGGCGCATGGCAAAAATACTGGCTGCTGCTCCAAAGCAAGACTAACTGAACTTGCGCCCACCGCTCGCACCTCCGTTTCAGCAGCTGGGCACGTGCTCGGAGTTTCTGCCATCGAGAGTGTTCTTCTGCGACATCAAAAATGCAACATGCAGGCAGAACCCGTCGCGGCCTCGATGTACTCGGCTGTTTTTGTCCATGCGATGTTGAATACGAACCTTTGCTTGGACAATTTCACAAGTGAATCAGCCCAGCGGGCTGTTCTTCCAAACTTGTTTGGTCTTTCTGGGGTTTCGTATTCTAATCGCCATTATGGCAAGGCGCTGACCACAACTGCAACAGCTCAGCTACACTGCGAGCTTGTCAGACAGCCCTTGCTGCCAAACATGCAGAAAACGGCTCCGCAACTTGATGGTTCCCTGGCTGCTGCAGGAATACTGAAGTGGCTGCAGATTGCTACTCTGGTTGCTTTTTGCAGCCTAGGCACTGCTTATCAATGGAAGTGTTCCTAATGACGGAACACACCTAAGACCTACTCTAGTCAGCCGGGAAACTGTGCCGTGATCGGCCACGGCGGGTGTGAGTTCACCATGGTCGTAAAGACCACCTCAAATTCCAAGCTTGCTCATTTGGGTGGACGTGGATCATCAAGCACTGACATGTGACAGACACAATGCAGCCCATTCACGTGACAACCACCTTGTGGCAAGGCCATCACGTGATAAGCCCTTAGCTGATCTCAGTCAATCGGAACCCAGAGTGAAGTTGTCGACGTCTGCCCCGACGCCGTCAAAAGAAGCGGCCAAGGAACCCTAAGCAATTCTGCGCCTGCACGGCAGGCCAGCCTCTGGAGGCCGTGAGGGTCTCCGAACCACAGTCATTGTATGTCTATACAGGCATTGTAGGCAGGGTGACACACCAAAGCAGAAAATTAATGTCATGAAAGGCGTAGACCATGTTCTCTCGGCAAACCGGCAAGCCTTCATCCTCTACACCGCGCTGGTGAAGAACTGCATTCCTTCGAGTCGAGTACACCACCGTCCTTGGCAATGAAGAGGCTGTGGCCATCAAGGAAGACTCGTCAAGAAAGCACAGTTCGTACTGTCTTCCACAGGTGCGCAGAATGTCCACTTTGTGACTCTCCCCAACCATGCGGGCATGTCACATGTCATCATAGTTCTGGGTGGAGTTGTACACCATCCACTGGAAGACCTCTTTCTAAGAAACACACTTATCCGGCCCTAACCCAGGGCTGGTAGCTGGGGCCGGTGCAGCCGTGCATGGTCCAGCACATGACAACCGGTTTCAGCCAAGCTACCTGTCTGTCTGGGAATGGGCGTGCCACAAAACTAACGGCAGCCGCCCGGGCGAACTCTTTCGGGAAATCTCCCAAGTACCTGATAGCGGCAAAGCAATTCAACAGTGTCGGCCAAGGCGATGACACTGTCTGCAGGCCCCTTGGCCATGTCGATTCGCGCCTATGCCACACACCATTTGTGTGTCAAGTGGCGTGACACCCGGGCCGTTCATCAAAAGATCGTCCCATTCAGCCTGCACCAGATCAAAATCAAACTCCAGTAGTGGCTCTCGCGGAAGAGAAGAGGAGTGGCCTAGTTTCATCTGTGCAGGAGACAGGCGTGTCAACAGCTTCCCTGGAGTCCTCGCCCTTCGTATCGGCTAGAGCGTTGAAGACATCGATAACCTCTGCGTTCCTGTCGACACTACACCGTATGGGCATCCTTTCGTCCTGTGTGCAGTGTCATGAGCCTGTGTCATCGGACAATCCATCTCAACCACATGAACCATGAACCTCTGAAGTCTTGTAGGCGAGAGGCTGCACATCAAATCGGCCAAACGTGATCGGAATTACCTGCAGACCACGGTGGTAAAGTGCATTTGACTGGATATGTAGACCACGACAACATCCAAGGCACATCTGGGCGTGGAGGTGGATGTGTCTTGTCGAGCTGGATGCCCTGCGAGGAAGCATCAAAACGAAGAAAGTGGCACCGGCCGGGCTTTGGAGAAAGCCTCCCAGGGTTCGATCCTCGACTCTTCATCGCCTGGGCTGGGCCGGCGAGGCCGCGACCAGTAAGCTGAGTGAGATTCCACCACTGAACCGAGAGAGCACCTTTTTTGCCAACAGTAACAAGGACAAGCGACACACATAGTTGTTGGTCGTGATCTGCAGCTGGATGCCGTCTTCCCGCTTGGGCCAGTCTAACCTTTCAGACAACTGCTGCAAAACTGCTTCAAGCACTTGGATGCAACGTCGCTTCACTGACCGCAAAGCCGGGTCTTCTCGAGCAAGAGCTTTGACGTGGCTACAATTGTTTCGTCATGCCCGTTTGCGAATGCGTTAGCATCCAATACATCACAGCGAGTAGCCGACCATCCGGCGGGGGATGCTGCTTCCATTCGTTGTTAAGGAACCTGGGCTGCAACGGCCAGGAGTTGCCCTGCATTCGGGAAGGTAATGCAGCAAGGCAGCCAATCTTGCAGCCTATGCTTCGCCTCTGTAAGAAGTGCTTCCCGAAGTGTGGGTGTCGCCTCAAGCACGGAATCGAAGCACTGAGCGGAAGCTACCAGCAGGAGGCTGGCAGGCAGGGCTGTTTCTTGCTGCTCGCAGGTCGGTTGGACAGTCTTCTCCAAAATGTGTGCGACGCAGCTCTTTGAAATGTTCGCTTCTCGTAGTCTGCATTCAAGCAGCCGATGCCATGCATCTCCCTGAAAGGTGTGTGGCGGACGGATCCGTGGACTCTCATGGGACCACTTTGCCCACTCAGCAAAGGCAACCAAGGGGCCTGCGACGATGATCCAGGCCACCTTCAACCACGCTGGCCTTGTTTGCAGGCCGGTCCTCTTTATGCGGTTATGCAAACATATCTTAACATGAGTCCAAATCTCTGCATACAGATCCAATGCTTCGAGTACTTTTGCAACAGTTGTCTCACGGCTGTATCATAGTTAGGGACGTGTCAGTCCGGGCATGACATGAAGAACTAGGTGTTTGGATGTAACTCATGCGCACAACGGAATTCTACCGGCGTACCTGCCCGTGGCAAAAGAGCACACATACAGATCACACACAGTGCTCAGCAATGCCGGGAGCTCCGAAAGTCAGCGTTGCATAGCGTATGCCTTCCACCGGCTCTGCAAGGCAGAATACAACACAACCACAAACTGCACCTCAAGCCTATGCATGGCAAATCGGGTTTGTGGCACGCGCTAGCCCAACCCGCGCTAGTGTGCCCGGACTATACCCGCAGGCGCGCACATACAAAGGTCAAGACATCACTCTACCCCTTAAGGCATGATAGGCATGTTTATAGTTGCAGCTACTCTCATGTGGGTTCACTGTCGCACATGTCACCTATCCACCGACACATCCACCCACCTGCTTGCTTACCTACCTACCTACCTACGGATGTACGTCAAACAGGCAAACAGGGCTAGCCACAAGCAGCATGAACATCGAGCCGGGGAACGTCATTGTGCAAGATCGCGCAGAGACCGCGGTCTGTGTTTTCGAGCCGAAGTTGGCGACACATCCCCTGTTTGGGTCTGAGTTCAGCATGTCCCTCCCACGAACGCGAACAGAGTTTGTAGGAACATCTGCTGGTCGCCTGAAACCCTCGCCAACCCCGAGCACCAGGCCTGCGATGAAAGAGCGGCAAGCACCTTCAAACACATTGCATGGCCTTTCTGGCACAGGGGCTCGTACGAGCAGTGGCATCAGAAGGAGCAGCTGCTCTACAAGAAGTGTTCTTGCTTTCTGCCGCCTTGTCATTTGCTTCGACAGGGCTTTGCCTTTTGCTGCAAGCAGGAAGCAACTGTACAGGCAACTTGGAGATAATCAATGGTGCTTCCACCAGACCTGCTGCATCTCTTTGTAAGCGCACAGGCGGCAGAGATCAAATTGACAACGGCTGCAATGGCAAAATGATTTTTTCGTGGAGGTCTGCATCTTGGCATCTAGACCCTCCTCGCCCAGAAGCTGCGTCTGGCAATGATCGCAACTGACACCTCCTGCATAAGTCGGCAGACGAGGCCGCGCTACTTGGTACGTCATGCGTTCGAGACAGCGTGGGCATATGCACGACGTGAAACCATCCACTATGATCGGTGTCGACTCTAGAATGGGCTGTGGCCACGAAGGAGCGGCCATCGGAAATGTCGTGACCGAGGAAGCTGTTGATGCTGTGCTGGCTTGGCTGAGACGCCTTGAAGTGCATGATGCCGAACTCACATCTGTGTGCTCTGTCTTTGTGCGCGACAACACGTAGTTGCGAAGCTGCGCCGGCTTTGTCGGAACGTCAATCTGAAAATCAAAAGCTTCGCCTCGGCAAAGCTGACGCGAGCATACTCGAACGCCCGAAGCCGTGTGCACATGAAGCTGAAACTCGCTTCCGAGCTCTTTCTTCAAACGAAGAGCTTTTTCGATTCCAGGCTGGACATGGGCTGCTAAAACCCATCGGTCTCCGAAAGCGAGACTTTGAAGAATGGACATTGGCCAAGCCAGGCTTTGAGCACTTGAGTGAAGCTCAAGGCGCAAAGGGACTTTTGTCTTGTTTCGGAATATCATGGGCCCCGAGTCGCGACCTTGTACACGGACCCAAGCTGTCACCCAAGGCTTTGGCAGGTCTCGCGACTTGATCGCAGCAAGATGCGACTCAATTCGCGCCACAGTTTTGGGGGACGCGGAACAAGCAGCCTTGAGACAGGCGCGCAGCTTGCTGGCATAGGCTGGATAAACGCATCTATCCCTCTGTCGAGCCAGCAGGCGTCCTTCAACATCCTCGGGTTTTCCCATCCATCCGAAGAGGTCAAGCGGGCTCCATGACAGCGCAGCGTCCAAGATGCAAATCAAGGTCACGGCCGCTGTTCGAAAGTCCTTCTCGGGACAAGAGAACTGCCGCCACCAGCTCTCTGCGAGTGCGTTGCCCTTCGTCGCCCTCATCTGACAGGGCACCAGCCATTCTAACGTCCTGCCCTTTGCAAATGTCGCATGCTGCGCCAGAGACGCCAAAGCCAATCTCAGCGACTTTCGAGGGGTGTCTTGTAGGCAGCCACGTGCAGCATGCTGCAGTTTCAAGAACTCATAGACCACATAGGACAAGGCGGCACAAAGGCCAAGCTTGTCGTGGATGGTGCCTCCATCTTCCGGATCGTACGTACTCCCACTGCTGCCGCTGCCGCCTGTTGACGGGGCCCCTGCCCTCCTCGCGTGCACCTCGGGATCAAGCCTATGACCTATGAAAGGAAAGACAACACTCAGATCTCGAAACAGTCACCCGCCTGTGGACGCAATTCTGGAGCTCTCTTCCGGCTTGGTGCAGAGCACAAGTGTCGCACTTTACGTAGATGGCGTCCAAGTTCTTCGTGTGGCGAGTCACCGAGAGCTTGTGTCGCTCCATCTTCTCGCAACGGTGAATTCAGGCACTCCCTGACAATGTCGCTTGCACTTTGCAAGCGGTGCTGTCCGGCATTTGCCAAACTCCAGTCCAACGTTTCCAACAGATGACGCACAGCCACTACCGGATCTATTCCTGCCGGACTCCTTTCCAGCGCCTGTCGCTTGACTTCTTCCAACCGCTGGTCCATTTCATTGGCCTCGCTCTCCGTCCAGAGCTTGGCCACCACCACTCCAGCCGCTGCAGATATGCAGCTGACAGCTGCCATGTCGGTTAACTAGTCTGGAAGGCTAGCACTAGCCTTTCCCACCTGGGGCTTCGCCCCCTACGACTTGAGCCCAGCACCGAAAAGATACCGCAAAGTCTGTCCATGAAAACCCACAGGCTTGTCCTGGCTTGTCCAAGGCCGATTTTTCCGCATAGATAGATAGCTGTGAGAACGCGATCCGACGCAGTCATTGCCGATATTCTGTTGGCACTGAGGCCTACCTCCGCATGCACGAACCCAAGCTGCCAGGACGACCATCCTGTCACGCAGATCGCAAGATCCTGCAAGTAAGCTCAGTCTGAGTTTCTGGGAGTTTGACGACAAGGTCCTTCCTGGCCAGCACCGACCCTGCATCTTCCATTGCACCTAAGAGTCCAAGATAACTAATTAGTCCAAGACCCTGCTTTGCAAAGCCTGCTACAAGTAAAATAGGACTGAGTTGTGAAACTTGCCGATGGCTCCTTGAGAGGCCCCGCTTAAACAGTGTCTGTCTGCGCCACTGCTGGCATGTGGGCATGCCTGTCTTGGAATCGCAAAGCCACTGTCACAGGCACTGTGGCTTGTCGTGCTAGACATAGAAGCACGAGCGAGCTAGAGTGATTGAATTCCAAATCATGCTGAGCTGGTCTTCATCCCAGCTAGCACATATGCAAATTGTGTGAGAGATTTGTCCACTTGCAGGTCTGCAACTTGTCAGCGGGTCTTGAACATGCTACGGGACAAGCTTCGCATTGAGAATGTTCGTCAGGACATGTCAGGACAATTGGAGACCAGAGACCTATGATCAGAGTGCGCAATCGTGCAAGGCATAGACGGGCCAGGAAAAAGCCATAATGACTCACATAGCACAACGCTGCGGAGCCGAAACCCTGGGGTGCAGCGCTTCTGTGGGCCAGGGTTTCTTGAAGTCTTGGGAGGAGCGGATGGCCCAAATGGTTCTTGCAAACATGACTGCTTGAGAAACAATTCGATGCTCTTCAGTAATCTAGGCCGCTTGGTGTTGGGCCTAGACCAACTAGGAGATAGTACACTGCATGATCCTCACAAGCAGTACCCAGTAGACGCTGCGCTAGTGAGCGGCGAATGACTCGCACCAATACTGTGGACAGCATGTCTGGGATCGTGTGTCTCAGAATCATCAGGAATCCACCCCTCCGGCTGTCTTGTTGAGTTGCTTCGCAGCCTCCGGCATATCAACTCTAGCGTGCCAGCCCCTGCAGTAATGCCCAGCCTATTGACACTGGAACCCCAAAAACCTGTACCGGGCTTAGACACTCCAGCCCTGGTGCTACGGCAACAGACGTTCGCGGACCCTTCCTTCACCTTGCAGTACCTGCTTCCACTCAGCCGTATCCTTAGAATCCTCATCCTGTTTTGACCTCACCGCAGCCGTGGCCTACCAAAGAGGGCGACTGGCCGGATCTCGCCGGACAGAACTCGAAGCAACTGCCGTGACCGATGCATGGCAGTCATGGTCTGATCTGCTGCGGGCCAGCGGTCAGTCTCGCGCTGCTAAGCGCCTAGGGCAAACACGAATGAGTTTCTGTCGGGACGGAGGCTGGCTGTACCAGTTCTGACAGGCAGCTCCATGCCCACTCTACGAACTCGCTCGCTTCAATATCGCCAGCCTCAGTTGGAAAATTGAATCCGGGTCCCGTGACTTGCAAGCCATAAATCCGCAAGTTGTTCCTGCCACGCTACTGTTGACGTTTCTTCCACGAAGGAGTCGAGCAAGGTATCCAGTTGACCAGAGCTTAGCCGAGTCTTGCCTTTGTGCTTCTTCAAAAGTATCCTTAGCTTGGCACCCGTGCATGGAGCCCGCCCCGTCTCACAAAGAAAAGGACTGTGAGACTGTGACCATAGCTTCGAGACCAAGTCGAGTCGAGTAACTGGAGGAAAAGTTTCAGCCTTTCTCGGCTCATAACTCCTCCTCCATGCCTGGGATGCCAGCCGAAGGCAGCATAGAAGCAAGGCACCGGCGTGGAATGAACGTGTCAACCGGTAAACCACCGAACCGATCAGTGCAGACTTCTCTAAGCCGAAGTTGCGACACAATGAATTTGGCAATTTGTTGGCCAACAGCATCAGAAGGATTGCCGGCTTGCGCCTGCTGTGCCATTGTTGGAACAGGGCTCGCTGCCGCTTTTGGTCCAGGCGGTGGTCCCGCAAGTGCGGCCCCAAATGTGATTGTGGTTGTTGGTTGGCCTGGTGGTTTGGGTCCGGGTGGTGGACCTTTTGGGGCAGCACCGCAGCTGGCTCCAGGTGTTTGTCCTGGAACCGGGCTCGCAGCCGCTTTTGGTCCAGGCGGTGGTCCCGCAAGTGCGGCCCCAAATGTGACTGTGGTTGTTGGTTGGCCTGGTGGTTTGGGTCCGGGTGGTGCACCTTTTGGGGCAGCACCGCAGCTGGCTCCAGGTGTTTGTCCTGGAACGGGGCTCGCTGCCGCTTTTGGTCCAGGCGGTGGTCCCGCAAGTGCGGCCCCAAATGTGACTGTGGTTGTTGGTTGGCCTGGTGGTTTGGGTCCGGGTGGTGCACCTTTTGGGGCAGCACCGCAGCTGGCTCCAGGTGTTTGTCCTGGAACGGGGCTCGCTGCCGCTTTTGGTCCAGGCGGTGGTCCCGCAAGTGCGGCCCCAAATGTGACTGTGGTTGTTGGTTGGCCTGGTGGTTTGGGTCCGGGTGGTGGACCTTTTGGGGCAGCACCGCAGCTGGCTCCAGGTGTTTGTCCTGGAACGGGGCTCGCTGCCGCTTTTGGTCCAGGCGGTGGTCCCGCAAGTGCGGCCCCAAATGTGACTGTGGTTGTTGGTTGACCTGGTGGTTTGGGTCCTGGTGGTGGTCCTTTTGGGACAGCACCGCAGCTGGCTCCAGGTGTTTGTCCTGGAACAGGACTTGCTGGTGGTCCCTTCGGTCCTGGTGGCGGGCCTTTGGGAGCTGCGCCGCACGTAGTTCCAGGCGACTGTCCCAGAACAGGGCTTGCCGCCACTGTGGGTGCAGGCCGCGGTTGAGGAGGGACGGCATCGGCGGCTTCCGGAGTTTGAGGCTCCGTCGGATAGGATCCGGAAAGCCACCGAGCAATTTCTTCTTCAAGCTCCTCACTTTCATGCAAAGTCTTCAGTGAGACATTCGCAAGCTGGGTGCCATCTTTGTAGAGAGTTAAGCTGCCACCATCCGTGCTGCTAATTCCCGCGCTTTCGAACACTTCCCGTGTCGCATCGGCATGGGTTACTCTGCATAACCTGGAGCACAGCTGCGTTGATTGCTTGGGTTGCGCGTACGAATCGAACTTTCATCTGAAGGCAAGCGGCTGGGGAATCACTTCCTCTGACTCGCCGAATTCTTGAAATTGCGGGTCAAACTCATCACCTGAACAACGAATGGCACGCCGTTGAAACAGTAACTCGGCTGAAGAGTTTAGAGTGCCGGCACGCGGCCGAGTGAGAACGGCAACTCCGCTGTTCTTGGGCCATAGCTGAAGTACACCTTGCTTTGTGCACACAACGCTGAAGCATGTGTGGGCATAAGGAAGCAAGGCACCAAAACCACGGCATGGCCCGCGATAGCTTCTCGGAAGGCAGCCTTGCAAGAAGACTCGAGTCTAGCAACACTACACAGCGTGCAACAAGCACGGGGAAATCGACAACTCGTTCGACACGCTGCTTCGGTGGTGATCTCGTTCACACCCGCGGCTTTTGTCTTCTCGGCCGCCTCAAAGAAAACCCTTGACTGTACCTGCACTCCTCACTCCCAGACATGCCCAGACCCGTGCAGTACTGCGTTTTATCCGAGTGGCCATGCAAGCGAAATGTGCGATCTGCCTGTTTCCGCAGCCGGGCGCTGCATCCACTTGCGGAATGGCGTTCCATCAGACTTGGGCCCTTCGCGCTGCGGCGGTCGAGTACGATCACAACAGCCTGCTTTCGCTTAGATTGGCTTAGATGATTGCCGGCTCAGCTGTTGACCTGCCACAACAGCTAGATGCCGCATGCCCATTGAGCCTGCCGAACGACTTTCCCGAGCCAAGCGGTGCAAACAGGCCTCATGGAACTCAGTACCGGCACACAGAAAGCGGCGACCCTTTGAAGGGATACATGCTCTGAAATTTTCGGAATCAAAGCAAACTCACACCTGCACAAAACCCGTTTCAGCATGTCGTGGCGTCAGTCCGGTCCAGAAAAATGGTCTGCTGGTGATGTCAGTGGTGTTGGTGATGTCGGCGGGACTGGTGGACGTGCTGGTCCATGGATTATCAAAACGAAACGAGATCCAGGTGAAGAAAGCGAGACGCCAATGCAGAAAACTCCCGGATTGAAATACGGGCAGTGCAAAGCTAAGAAGCAAAGAGAAAATCAAACTTGGCTCCACCAAAGTTAGCAAAGAGGAGCGAACCAACCCTGCAAAAAGCACAGCATTCACTGCCGGATATACTCTGGCGTTGCTTCGCCCTGCTTTCGCAATTGTGAGACGCATATCGTAGGGTAGGACTGATTGTCCTGATGCAGCATTCGGTTAAGAGTAACATGCCCCACGATCCCCACGTTGACAGAATGCCGCCAGGGGGCGCAGTTGCCAGTATTACCATCGCCGAGGGTCTCGGCAAGCCTTTTAGCCTGATCACCCGAGTCTGCGTGTGTGGAAACCAATGCAACGAAACAATCTGCGCGGGAATGTTCTTCGGAGCCTTCTTTTACACCCACCCGCTCTACCGTTGCTGTTGCCATCCATCCATAAACCGATCAGTCGTCTGGCAATTGGGACGACCCACATCATGAATTACTCTTGTGGCAAGCTCCGCCTGCTTGATACTCTGATACTCAGGTCTGCACAGCTCGGTCCTATGGTACACTCCGCTCGGCATCGGAAGTCTTATTTGACCAGCGGAGGCCACCAGTGGAAGGTCTCTCCGCTAGTGATGACGAGGTAAGCCAGGTACACCGAGACGAGAACTGGGCCGTAGGCATAGGAGAGCTTACAGAAAGGAGGAAGGAAAACAAAGAAGACCACCAGCAGCAAGGTGCCGCTCATCCAGAGCACGCCCTCGTCGATGCCCGCAACATTCTGATCAATGGGCTTTCCGCCGTACTGCAATTGGAAGATGACCCAAGGCAGTGCCATGGCAAGGAAAACATTTTGCACATTCGACCCAAGAGCATTGGCAATCGCTGCTGCCGGCTTGTTCTGCTGTGCCATGAGCACAGACGCAACAGCATTGGGAAACGAGGTGCCAATGGCACAAACTGTGATCCCCAAAAAGCTGTTCGGGAGCGCTGGTATGTTGTAGTGGATCTGATTGGCAATCTCCAGCATAAAGAAGGAGAAGATCGCAAGCCAGAACATGGCCCCCACAAAACACAAAGGCCACCGACCTTCTTTTCTGACATCTTTCACATCGACGGCGAAAAGCGTAAGCTTTAGCAAGCCATCGATGAGGAAGTGGGGGATAGCAAGGAGCTTGTCAAGAAGCGGATCCTTGGAGACCATGGTGTGGTAGAGGTGCTGCCAGGCGCCACGAATAGTTGCATCGTAGCCATGGACCCAGGGCCTGCAAAGCGAATACTCCTGGATATTGTTCAAGAGCTCCGTGCGCTTTGCCGCATCTTCCACTGTCAGCCTTAGAGTGATGTGCTGCAGGTTGTGGATAAACTCCAGATTGATAACGCCCATATCCATGAGAACCACCTCTTTCAAGTCTTTGTACTTCAACATTGGTCCTAGCAGTGCGTCTCCACCCCCCGCAAATGTGAAGCCAAGGGAGCCACGTGCGTTGGCTTTCGGTTCTGGTTCTGCAGGGGGTTTATTTGGCTCCGCGTAGATCCCATGCTCGGTAGCATCGAGATTCCACTTTTCAGTGGCCCCCCCGTGGGCATCCACCATGCGACCATGCAGGATTTCTTCAACGTCAACCTCCACTCCATGCATCGTCCCTTTCTTCTTCGATGGAGATTCCGAACCCACTTCAACCTTTTCCGGGCGTAAGACCGGAATGCACTGAACGAAGTCGTCGGTAAAATACACACAAGCAACATAGACTCCAGCTGCAGCTAGCAGCACCCATGCTTCGTAGGACTCGATCTTGTGATCGAGAAGTGCCCAGTACAGCAAGATGATGGACAACGCGTAGAACATGCAGTCGCGAGCAAAAGGCACGCGCTCCAGAGCAAGAGGCAGGACTGGTGCTGCTGAGATTGTCAAACCGACGATGATGAGAAGATTGAAGATCTCCGACCCAACCACAACACCAATTCCGGCATCAGATCCTGTGTACAACGAGATGAGGTTGGTAAACATCTCCGGTCCATTGCACCCCAGAGCGCAAATGGTAGCTCCAGCCACTGCTTCCTGGCCCCAGCGCTGCAACCACTTGTTGTCACTTTGCTTCATCTTGCCGACAAAGACATTGATTGCAGGTACGAAGTATGCATCGCAAACATGATGCTGCGCAAAGAACATGAAGCCGATCATGAGGAACCAAAGGCATCCTACAACCATCGAGGGAGCCATGCCTCCGCACGACACCTTCAGTCAAGCAGACAAGCGTAACACAGGTTTTGGTGTGCCCTTATTCAGTGGCTCTGCTTTTTGTGCAGTCGAGAAGCGTCACCAGGGGTGAAAGAACCTGCCCTCGTTTGGCCGCGTCTTGAGAGTCGAAGGCCAGCTTCGGTCAGCCCCGTGTTGCAGCACGCGGCATGGGCATGCACACAGACTACATGCAGCGCCGACAAGCCCACACATCCTGCTCAGATCCGAATAAGCTCGGAACCTGGCACGGCCCTCGATTGATCTTCCTCCGCCTGGCCATGCGCGTGGCAGTGTTGCGGTGAGGGACAGAACGGGATGTTGAAGGATGATGGAGATACATGACAGACGATCCCAAACCGCATGTCACATGTCTCCTGGAAACATGCCTTCCCTTTGGGGCTTGGCCTGGCTTGCTTTGTCATCTTGTGTGCCATGTTTACGTTGTCCATCGTCCAAGAGATGGATTGACCGAAGCCCATATATCATGTTATTTGTTTCTTCCTACTGTGAATGCGTCGCCTATGTGCTGCACAAGGGGCCACCCACATTGACGCCAGAGGTGGTGATTGGTTGGCTCTGCGTCAGTGGGTAGCAGAAGCAACGCGTCAAAAATTTGAACACGAAGGCCAGGCTTGCAATACCAAGTGGACTGAGGCACGAAGGGCTCTAACCCTCACGGACTACAGGACCAAGGAACCTCACAGGTGTCTTGTTCTTACGCAAAACCGGATTTGAGACGGTGAGCGCAGGGGGATACTGAAAAACCTGGTGTCGCCAATGCTACCACCATCACTGGAACCAAACGTAGAGACAATAACATTATCGCGATTATCACTGGTAAACTTTGCTGCCATCATAGTATCATCATCACCACAGCGGTTATCGTAGTGTATCGATGACAACTCTAAACTCAGAGACTCACTAGCCTCAGCAACAGCCATAGGCGAAGTACAGAAGCGATCATGAATAGGAAAACTGCTACGAGAAAAACTGCTGACAATCGTGGCAGGAGTTGTTTGCAGCGTATTGCAGCGCACTACCATCCAACCTTCCTTCATGTCACCACGGACATCTGAACAGGGTAAAGCGGTGCGCTCTATGCCTATCGTCAAAGCCTGAGTGGGCAACGACGGAGTGGTTTCAGAGACCACTTGACGAGGTTTTTGTTGCTAGCATTCACTGGCGCAAGGTTTTGGTCCGTGGCGGAAAACAGTTTGTGACAACAAAGGAGACAAGAAGTGTGCATTGGAACGGAAGGTCAGCCCAGAATTTCGGAGCGTGGCTCAAACGACCCCTAATGCTCTGGCTTCAATTGCGTGGCTTCCCAGCACCTTGTCCCAGACCAAGTAGCTCATGCGTGCCCTCGTGGAACAGGAAAGACTCATGGAAAGACTATAGGTAGATCTCACGTGCACAAGTCCCCGTCAAGTGTCAAAACCTGTGGGCGCCTGCAACCAAAGACTGCTCAGTAGCCTCCTGCCGCAAGCAGGGGTGTGATGCTCTTCTCACGAGCACTTCTCAGAGGTCAGATATTCGATGTGAGTGACTCGCCTTTGCGTGGCCAGTGTGCAAAACGCATGGTGATGCCGCCATGCGAGTGCCGAATGTCCGCGTGTGGCATGTGGCTTGTGCAGAACACGGGTTCCGGTCTGAAGGATCATCGGCCGCTTGGAGCTTGCTTGGAGGGAATTAAACCAAGCAAGCTGTAGGATCCAGTATAGGCGGACCTACACACCTGAGCGCCGTCTCTTCCGCTCCGGAAGAGAAGGGTATTGCCGAACACCGCGATATTGACTGGTCGGGTTCCACGAATGGAGTGATTCTGTGCACCACGCCTTCCCTCTCGCAGGAAATACTTTGCAGCACCACCAGATTTGATCAAGGACCACGCGAGAGGTGGCGGAAGTATGCCAGGTGCAGAGCAAGGAGGCCGCAAACTCGCCGTCGGATTCGATGAGAGCCCTTCTGCGTGGCCGAGCTCGCTCCTCAATCTTTTCGGTTGACAAAAAGAGAGAGCGAGAGCGAGAACGAGAGTGAGAGCGAGAGTGTGAGCGTGATGTGGACAGACAACCACAGAGTTTGCGTCAGCGCGAGCAAACGAAGGAACAGGCAGAGCGTAAAGGGTGTGAAGGTTCTGCGAATCGCTTCGTTCTCCCCCGAAACTGGCTTGAAGTCACCCGGGAGCCGAGGAGAAACAAGCTCCAACTCTCAATTAAATGGAGGACTGAGCCGTGCTTTGCCGGGCCCTCTGCACGATTTCCTGGGGCCAAAATGGCCCAAAAACATCAGCGTTATACTACTGCAAGCCACCAGTGTGCCGAGCGGCTGCGTTCTCTGCGCCGGAATCTGGAAGCTCTCATCTAAACCGCCATGCCGAGTTTGCCACACGAAGACAAGGAGACACAACACGTATATACTCCATGTCACACGTCCTCTTGTTTGCTCGTGACGCAGATCCGGTGTTCTCATGTTCTGCTGCACTTGCTCTTTTTGCTTGCTTCATTGCATTGGTTTCGACCTGCTTGTTTGCCCCATGCTGCCTGCTCGCTCATCTGCCCAGCCCACAGAGAGAGAGAGAGAGAGAGAGAGAGAGAGACAGAGGCGAAGCTAAACGGCTCATCGCGTGCTTCTCGCCATCAATAACATCGTTCGGGAACGTCCGGTAAGTGAGTGGCTTGCAGCGCACACTTTTTTTGAATCTGCCATCCTTGCGGCAATCAGCTCGTCATCACTCCAAGCAGCAAGAATATCAAACTTTCTTGACCTCGGTGCTCAAAGCAGGCTGGCTCCGACGAACTGATGCTGCAACTTGCAGAATCCAGGCTGAGAATGTCGAGCCAAGCTGCGAAAATATCGCCCCGTTGTTTCCCAACCGTTGGGCGCTGGGAGGCGTACCGGGCGTGTTTCTCGCTCAGGGAAGCCTCAGCTTTCAGGTGCTGAATGGGCGACACTCACAAAGTGAAGTGCCTCTTCAGCAGTGGCACCTCCCAGTCCTTGAACTGCTCCTCCCCCAACAAAGCCAGCATGACGTGATGCATGAACCTGACGGAGAGCTGACATAAATCATGAGAGAGCTCGGATGATTCCAAATGTTTATCGCAAAGGGCCGGTCCAGAACTCGTGTTTTTGAGGACGGGCTCATCGCAATCTCCATGCACCCGCACACCGCCTTTCACGCGCTGACGGTTCTCCGAATGTTGACCGATAATCCTAGCCGGTTGTGTGCACTGATCCGGTTGCCAACCAATCCAAGTCTCCGGATGCTTTGCACAAAGTATCCATTTCCGTATCCTGCAGGGTGCATTGGCATAGTACGAGAAAGCAGACCCATGTTGAGCCAGCTTCCCATGTTCCGTCCATGCACCCGACAAAGCTCGGGTTTGAAAGACAGGGCGTCGTTGGTTCTGCCCGCAGCTGTTCTGTGCATGCACAACTGCAACGGGGGCCTGTCGCACGCAGACGATCAAGGGCCCCTTCTGAATGGCCACCACCTGCCACTTTCATTGTGTCCGTCACGAGGCTCCCCGTCGCTCCGTACTGCCCAGGCCTTGGCGACAGGAGCTCACACTTAATAGCACTTTGCATCGCCTGCAACGTGTTCCGATGTCCCGACATTGTTGCCACGAGAATAATCCGGCAGAAACTTCAAAACAGCATGCGTGGCTGCATTAGAAAAACCGTGCCGCTGGGCAACAGGGCTCCCATCATCAGCAACATGACCACAAGCTCCATCGTTACCAGTTACCGTTACCGAGATCATTATGCTCAGGCATGGCAGCTTCGCAACGGTCGCTACAGGTAGTGGCCCTCCTCAAATACCGACACCTATTCGGTAGCCCAGAATCGATCCTGCTTGCCTGGCCTTGCCACGAACCAAACTTCAGCTTCGCATGTTTGCACAACATTGAGCTTCAGCACCAATCCAATGCAATGCATTCTTATCCGGCGCTTGTCATACAGGTACCAATACTCCGTCTTGGGGGGCGTTCCTTGACAAGGGACACCATGGCGCATGATTACCCAATTCCAGATACGAGTAATACTGTTCAGGCCGAGGTTCTTAGACAGGCATCTGCCGCGGCCGCATGCCTTTAGAGCGCAGAGTGGTGGTTGGGGGAAGTATCTAGCAGCTGCAGAGTGCAACAGACTAGTCTCAGCCAAGCGACTCAAAGGCTGGCCGAAGAACGCACTCTTCCAGTCCATCCCCGAAGCTTATGACCGTGTCATGTAAAGGCCTTAGCTTGCCACCGCGTGCCATCAAATCCTTGATCTGCCCAAGTGGTCATGCCTGGCTTCAGTGCCTCAGGAAGTAGAACAAAATTCCTAATATGCAGAAAATGCAGCAAAACCACCCCCCGCAATCATCACAGCTGCGGCCCGTCCAATGATTGCTCCCGCATCCAGCGCATCGTCGGATGTGGGGAGGGATGGGACCAGGAAGAAGGCCAGCTAAGTAGTCCTTGGAGCCACATGCGCTTCTTGAGGTTTGAGATTCACGAGTGCGGCGTTCTGAACTTCGGACGGTCTCATCTCAAGTGAACAGGCACGCACTGTCAAGCATCGGCACCTCTGCCCGATCTTCAGGTACGTACCAGTTCCGCCTCCGGCAGGATTGGTTGTTGTGCTCGCAGTGTCAGGGGCAGCTGTGCCAAAAGCTGGGCACGGCACACATAGCGCTTTCCGCAGCTAGGGCAGTACTCTGTGAAGGCGGAGCCATGAACATCGGAGAGCTTGCTGTAAGGAATTCCGCTAAGATGATGCAATCCATCTGCGTTCTGGCTCACCACATATGCAATTCTGAACGTATGCAAGAGGCCAAACGAGGGTCAAACTCGTATCAGGCAGTGCCATGCAGTGCCCAACAGGCTAGTCCCATAGCACAGTGCAGTCGTTCTACACTGCGCGATAACTCGCGAAAGCATATAAACTTGTACCGAATGTCTTGCCAATCTCCACCAGCTTCGCGATGGCCTCGTGTGCAAAAGTAGGCCGCAATTCCTCATACACGGTGGTGTATGCAAGGTCTGCACCTGACAGGAACTTAGCACAAGCCCGTGACCTACCATCATAAGTGCACGTCTTGCAGATTCTTTCGTTCGGCCAAATGTGAGTGGAGCGAGCTGCTGCGCCCTATACGCAAACAACGCTTGGGCGATATTTTTTTGGCTACAAAAATTCGCAAAATATTCCAAAATGGGGCAAGGGCAGGCCGCGTCCAAAAATGGGGAAGGGCATGGAAAGGCAGCGCGCCTGTCTTTGTCAATGATGCATCCGCCCTAAAAAGTAACTGGCCATTGGATGCCATTGGGCTAATAACAACGATAGTGACACGACAATGCCCGCACGTGCAGGTGTCGCGCGTCACAACAAATTTCGGTGCCTTGGCCTGAACTCACCAAAGCAAACAAGCGAGCAAAGACATGTGAGTGTGAAGGGTTCGCCGTATGCGTCAGCCAATAGCCCCACGAACCCCTACGCCGACGACCCAACCCTCACCGGCAGCAGACACGTTTGGCCGCAGAGTTGGGCGGCATACACCTTGCCTTTGGGCCACCAGACGCGACAGTGACACGACTCTGCGCAATCGTGTGCTTCCACTCCCCCGTGCTGGGGAGGGAAGTCAGGTAGGTGTCACGAATAAATGTCGCCTGGTACAGCAATTTGCGGCGCTTGAGCCTGAATTGAAAAAAGTAGGCACATATGGAGGCTGCTGCGCGGGCCCACCAATACTGTACACAGCCCAGGATGCTCCAAAATGCACTCTGCAAACCAGTCTTTCCGGCCCTGCGGATCGTAGCCACAAAGATGGAATACGTGTTTGTGCATCTTATCCATGTCTCAGGAAAAGGCGATGCATGGCCCAGACAGAAACTCGAACGCATCATACTCTCACACAGCAGGGGAACTCCACCATCCCCACGATGTGGCAAATCAACTTCGCAGTAGAACTCGCGGTTCAGAGCTCTCTTTCCTTTACAAGACCCAGCAAATGGCGGTGCCGGAGCCGGAGCTGAACAAAGCAAACAAGCAAGCAAGAAAAACACGTGAGTGTTTTTTGTGTTATTTGTTGGACAATCAGACCCTTTTCCTCCGCCGATGCGTGCAGCGCAGGTGGCTGAGCCCAGGAGACGGAGCCTTCTGGACCCTTTGTTTACGCGACGGCCCGTGGCCCTGGCCACCCCCCCACCCAAAGGCATTTCACAGTGCACTGCCAAGACAAGTCATGTGGCTCCACCCACTCCATCAAAGTATAGAGCATTATAGAGGGCAATGCTGCCTAAGGTAGAAGTAACTTAAGCACTGCAGGAGGGCGTGGCGACAGAGCTGCTGGGGGGGCCCCGCCCTCCATGCCTTGGGCTTCGAGAGTCCACTTGCCCTGCTTGCCCCGATAATCGCCCAGTCCGGCTGCTGTAGAAAGCCCTGCTCCAGTGAAGCAGATTGCTCGCCTCAAGGCAGCGAACAGGGTCCATCCATGTCCATCCCATCCTTCTCTCAGCATGTCTTTATCAAGGCACGAGCTTTTGCGCAGTACAGCAGCGGCATCAAAATGCTCAGCGGTGGATGCAGCCGTTTGCAGAAGTAGCGAATCTGATTTCGCCAGGCTGCGTCCTCGGAGCTGGACGCAAAATTGTGCATTCGCTTTGCTGCATGATCTCGCTGGGACTCGACATGACATGACGTTCATGCTCCGAGTATAACAACGAACGACAATGTTCAAGTTGCAAGCGACGGTTGGCAAGCAACTGCTCCCAGCAATTTCGATGGAATACCATTGGCTCGCCGTAACGCCACCTGATGCCTCCATGGCATCCATCTTCATCGGCTCGGCCAGCTCCGGAGGCCTAAGCCACCTCCACGCGAGCTGCCCCGACCTCGATTCCTCCCAGACGGCAATCTCTGCAGCTGCATTCCCACGAAACCTCTCGCTGTCGTTTCCTGTCCGCAGCCTTCGAAGTCAAGCCTCTTGTTGCCGTTCCAGCGGCACCTACAGCCGCCACTTTGCCACGAAGGCAGGACAGGGGTTGCAATTCCCTTCGCAAACTTGATCCGCTCGCACGAAGATGCAAGTGAAGGGTTGCCGCAGCTCTTCGCAAGCCTCGCCCGCATTCAAGTCCAGCGACGAAAGGCAGCCGCGGTGCGACGTGGGCCATCTGACATGTGATGAGTTAACTGCCTTGGCAAGGGCAGAAACATCAAGTGCCTTCGTGACTATCGACGGCATAACTGACCAATTGCTGTTCCAATCATTTTCAATCTGTACTAGTACTAACTCCCGTCCACCCGGTTCGTCGCATCAAGAAGCTTCGACACACCCACTCCGTCAAACTTCCCGTTTCTGGGTCAGCAGTTGTGGAACCCATAAGCAGCAACTCGACACGGTATTGTCGTGTAGCAAGAGGTTTCAAAGTCATGTTTGTCAATTGTCGATTTCCAGCGTTTGTCCGCAGGTGTTCAGGGAAACCTGGTGAAACAGACAGATCACCCAATGATCTCCGAGGCAGAATGCCCACAAGTGCGTAAGGACGTAACTGCTGGTCAACAGATAGCAAGCCAACCTCGAGTTAAGAGTGGTGGTGTGGCTGTGGGCACACGAGTACTTGACGTCCTGGTTGCACCGGCATCCAGATCTGAGAAACTCTCAGACGTTGGCCAGGAATGTCTGCGGCACCGTGCCAAAGCAATCGCATGCCACGATGTCGTGAATCCCTACGGCAGTTTCTCTTTGAGAAGCTTGCCCAAACAAAATCGCATAATCTGCATCGCTTGCAACGGAGCATGGAGACAGTTTGGCAAGCGCATTGCGCATGCCACGTCTCTTGCGCTTTCTTCCATGTCATAGGTCACAAACCAAGTGCTCTTTGAGGCAGCCTTTTGCTTCAGACATGAGGCTCCCATGCGCTAAAACTGCGATGTGCTGAGGTCTCGACCTGGTGTCAAGTGAGAGACGATGCCGCTTAGCGGCTGACACCTCAGGAGAGGCTACCTTGCCTAGACTAGCCATGCTCGGACGGAAGCTACAACACAGGGCTCTGCGTTTGCAGAGAGAATGGTGCGGAAGTGACCTGGAGGATCACAGCACATTGCGAGGGGAGCGGAGGCACAGGCCAAAGCCAAAGGTACGGGCTCCGCCTGAGGCCGAGACTTTGCTTCGCTTTCGGAAGGCGGCTGCGGCCCTGTGGCGGCGGCCGAAGCCCTGGGCCGGCAGAGACTGTCAATCAGCTCAGCAGCTCAGCTCATCTGCGGTTTTGGAAGCATTCAGAACCAGAAGGATCATCCGGCCTGGCACTTGCAGTCTTTACCTCGGGTGCATGGATTATGGTTACTGTCGCACATCTACCTGAATACTCAGTTAACTTTGGGTCCGGCAGCAACATCCAGCTTTGTGGAGAATGCATGCAGTCGCAACAGAAACTGCTGTCTTGTAGTGTTCCTGGGGCCTGGGGTGCAGACTGAAGCCCAGCAGCCGCACCAGCCTTCCAGACCCGTCCCGCAACTTCTCTATCTCCACGAAGGATGTGATGCAGCAGCTTCTGAAAACATTCCGCCTTCAACGACTTCGAACTTCCAGGGGAAGACCTGCGAAGTAGCAGGGTCGGCGGAGGCAAACCCCGTGACATCGTAAGCATTCAGAAACCGCCAAGCCATCGGCTTCGCAGCTGTTGAGGTGCCGTTGTTTGCATCTGCAATGTTGATTTCGGGAGGCCTTGGCAGTTCTGGGCAATCAATCGAAACTCTACCCGGCCATTGAAAGAACCTTTGAAGCTCCCTGTGGCTGCGCTGAGACCGTCTCTTGTCACCGAAGCCCTCCGCTGCCTGGCCTGCACCGGCCTCCTGCACAGCAGAGTTCTGGCATCTCGCTCACAGCACCAGTGTCATCCGAGCACCCGCAATTTCTGCCAAAGTCACTGGGCCCCTCGCGTTGGTGCTAGACTTTTTGAGGGTCGGGGCCTCAGGCTTACGAGCCGCATGAAAAGCCGCCAGCCACTCCGACTGCATGCCTGAAGGCCTGGCACTGTTAGTTCGGTTCAAGGACTGCTTCATCTTTGTCTCTGCTGCCTTCGCCGCAGTCACTCGCCTGCGTGCGCATGGCTTTTTCATGTTCAGCTTGCGGGGCAGCCCCAGAAGAGCTCACGCCCTCCGACAACACGCACACTGGGTTTTGACGAAGGACGAGCGGATGCCAATTCTCGCCACTATGACCGAATGTCTTGCCGAGCAGGAGATTGCATAGCCAACCCGGCCAACCCGTAAACATCATGATTTGCCTTATCAAGTCGATGGGAGAAGAGCCACAACCCTCTGCAGCAACCGGCAACTGCGTATGCAGGCCATTGCATAGGAGCAAGACCTAACGGTGACACGAGGCAAGGCACGAATTGCTGTCATGCCTGCCGTCGGCATTCGGCAAGGACCGGTCGTGCCCTTCCAGGAACCAACTCGGTCCCGCCACTGCCGCAACAGCGTACTCTACGGATCCTTAGAAATTCTTAGAAGATGATTGAGATGCACCTCTTTGGCTTAAGAAGTTTATGAACCCGTATTTTTAAGGACCACCAAGGGCTTGTTGCGTGGCCAGTTCCTGCAGACATCGCCATGCCTTTAAGCTCCCGGATGCTATAAAGTGAACTTCATTCCAGCCCAACCTCTCACACCTACTCATCCCTCGGCATCGAACTTCTCTTCTTTGTCCTCCTTGGATTTGCCCAACCTGAACTCGGCCACAAGCGCAAATGATCAATCCCATCCTTTACCTCCCGCTCGTGAGCCTGTACTCCAAATTCTGAGCCTCACTGATTTGACGTAAACGCGGCCTTGGATGTCTCGCAGAACAGCCAAGCAACGTAGGTGCAGGCTGGAATCCACGGCACGCTTGCAGTCTGGGATCCCTGCGTCAGCTGCTTCAAAACATCCTCAATGTCTTGAGAAGAGGTCGGCAGCTTTCCTGCAGATGTCTGGCACTGTCCGTTGCCAGGCTGATTTTCACAAACGTGCCTGCGACTGTCTCGTTCACGGAATTCCTTCTGTTGGGCTCCGCGTGTCCTGCAAAGAGTCCGGACAAACCCTCACTTCCTATGACTGCCGCTTAATTTACACTCTCGCAACTCGGACTGCCGCTTTAGGTTCCACTGCTCAAACTCGAATCACAGTCCTTTCGGCTTGCTCGTGATCGACTCTTCGTCCAGGCGTCGAGCCTTGGAAGCCTTGCTAGCTTGAAGACTTGACAGAAGTGTGACTCGAAGACAACGTAAACAGCAGGGAACGATCGAAGCCGTTAGCGCAACTTGCCATAGATTTTTCTGGAGCCTGTTCCGGGCTGCAGGGATCTGCACTTTGGCAGGAAGGAAAAGACCTGAGCAGCTACTCAGCTACTGAGAGGCTCAGCCACCATACCGATCTCGTCGAGCATGGCTGAAGTCCACAACCATCTTCTCCAAGACAGGAAGTGACTGCACCAGGAAAGCGCTTCTCCGTACATCCTCCCCACCGCCACGCTCTGGCAACGGAGCTAGGAGAGATTTGTTCAGCTGAAGAGCTGATTCATTGTGATTGCCAGCAGTCAGTGCGTCAGAGATTACAGCAGCAATGACATCACACGGTGGTGGCAGCAGGATCGCCCGGACTGCGTAGCGAACCTTTCTTCCGCCAACCTCACCGAATAACATCAGGAACAACACACAGCCAAGCGCATACCAGTCCCGTGTAACAAGTTGGTGCAAGACAGTGCTAGGAGACTGAGGCGCATCCGCTTGTGTTTCGGATGCGAATGGCCCTTCCGGCGGCAAGAAAGCCGGAGTTCCAGAGAAACGACCACACAAGGATGCCGAAGACTGTGCGAGCTTCTCAATGGATTTTGCCAATCCGAAGTCCGCCAGCTTTGCCACTTTCAGCTCTGCTGGCTTCCTCACGGTCCGGATCAAAATGTTCTCGGGCTTGAGGTCGCAGAAAACAATTTCCCGGTCGTGGAGGTGCTGCAGAGCCAAATAAATGCACCCCAGAAACCTCCCGGAATCTCGTTCCGGCAGGCCTTCTGCAACTCCGAAGGCATTCTGGCAGTCGAGGATGTATCGGTTCAGATCAACGTCACACAACTCCAGCAGAATGCAATAAAAGGACGAAGTGCAAAAGACTTGAACGAGCTCTACAACACATGGGTGCTTGACTTCATGGAGTGCATTTGCTTCACGAACGGCTGCCGTGGCCACTCGACTTCGGCCCTGGAGCTTCAGGGCGTACTCCACTCCTCGTCTGGTATCACAGACTTTGTAGACCCGACCGAAGCCACCCTCCCCCAACTTTGCAAGGGCCTCCAGGCGCGACAGCCTCAAGGGCTGACGTTCCCAACAAATTTCCAGCAGGGAAGCGAACTGGTCACCGATGCCCTTGGAGAAGAGCCAGCCTGCAAGATTTACTGCGCCGTCTTGATAGAAGTAGGCTTCGTCCAAGGACGAACCGAAGACCGTGTCATCAAACGAACCTGCAGTCTCCAGTTTCCCGGGTTCCGTATCCTTGGCCACGGCTCTCAGGCCTCCCGCGGCGAGAAAGCATCGCAACTGCATGTGCACACACCAGGCCAATATCATTGCAACCAAACACCTCACTGGGGAGGGGAGGGCCCAGGCTCAGGTCTTGGCATCGGGGACTTAGCAAATGCCTCCGGCCTGAGAAAAGCTTTCTGTTTAAAGCCTAGCAACCCCAGGACTCGAATATGGAAACCAGTGTTTCCTTTCAGCTGGCCCGATTGAATCGCCGAGTGCTCCAGAAGATAAAAGTAAATGGCAGGTCCCATCTCCAGGGACCGCAGCACGTCCAAGCAGATTGTCAAAGCTCGTGCCCGTGCGGACAGGCTCGGCAAGTCGGCAAAGAGAGCGATGTTGGAACCGAAGAGCGGAATGGACAGAAATAAAGCTCTTTTGGAAAATCCCTTCGATGCCCATGATAGCAGCAATAGCCCAATCACCCAGTCGCTCAGAGCCGCTATGAAGAGCCAATGTCCGAACAGCTGGCAAGAAGTGACAAGCATGGTTGATGTCACTACCAGCGTACGTGTGATCATCTCCGTCCCACGAAGGAGAGCATGCACTACGCTGAAAGGGCATCGCTGCCTGGTTTGGTACTGGCTCACCAAGGTGCTTGAAACTCCGTAATCCAGAGTTAGCAGGGCGAACAGCACGAGGGCAAAGGATCCACCGGCAGCAACACAAACAATGAGATCAAATGATGATAGTGTGTCTCGCGACAGGAAATGACATATTCGCAGCATGAACGGCATCTCGTAAAAGAAAGTAAGGTGGCTGCTATAGAATGGCATTCGGAATGCACCACTGTCGGCCATCGATGGGTCACCAAGCTCAAGTAGGAAGCTGTCCCGGTACCCTTGGTTGCTCAGCTGTCGATATCCACGAACTAGCTGCCAGCCTGAGAAAATTCCGAGGAGGATTATTGCATAAATGTTGAATGCAATCAGCCTGATGTAAGAACCTTCCTGCCACAAACGCTGGCAGAGCTGCGCCATGCGCCTGTCACGACGCACACAAGCGATTTGAAAAAGCATGAAGCTGATGTCCATGGCCAGGAAGATGAAATACCATGCATCCTTCGCGAGCGAATCCAGCTGCCATGTCGACTCCTCAAAAGCCTCAATGCCCTTTCCGTTGATGTAGTGGTCCACTACCGCTGCGTTTACCATCGTTCGTGTGTTTGTTGTCAGAAAAATGACGAAGCTGGAGAAGGCCTGCACGCGCGGGCTTTCAAAACACACTGGCCCCAGAAAAAGCTGGCTTCTGGTCCTGGTGGACAGGCGCCTCTCTGCAGCCTCTAGGGCCAAAGCCATGTTTCTGTATCGTGTGTGCCGTCCCTGGCAGGCGGGGGACATCGCCCCCTCGGACAAATCAGAGTCGGCATGGCCCCACTCCTGAGTCAGTGCCACAATGTCCACGGCAAAGCGCCGCGCTGGGATGGCCTCCTCGTCCTGTGAGTCGTCTGAGGTATCTGTGGAGCTGGTCTCGCTAGAGTCCGAGTTCATCGCGCCATTGCATTTCATTGAGGTGCCTGCTGCGCTGCATGATTCTGCACTTTTGCTCCAATGCATGCCTGACTAATCATAGTGCAGTGTAGAGAAGCAAAAAAAAACCGTTCCTCGGCTGGTGATATCTACTTAAGGCCAGAGCTGTCATAGTCATGCTCCACTTACGTTCGACCCGGTAGCTGTCAAGCTAACGTCATTCACAAAGCAAGCAGAAGATGGTCCAGCATCATGTTGCAAAAGACTCACTCTCGCTGTACGGCATCCGTACTTCGGATGTGCACTGCGCGCCCCTAGTCCTACAAAGTCCTAAAGGTCTGGCACCAAAGACTCGCCTGGTGAATACCCGTGGTTTATTCCATCCAGAGTTTATCTGGCGATAGTTATCGCAGGCTTCTTTAGATTCGGAGGTTCCGTGCTGCATGATCCTGCATTTCGATTCGCGTGACTGCAAAGCATACCAGTGCGGAATATGTCGCTTCAGACGGACCACCGACAGGATGAGAGTCCGCTCCAGCGATTCGAATCGCAAACGCGCACAAAGAATGAATCTGTCAAACAATCCGCAGGCTGGAGACATTGCAGTTTCTGCGGCGGGGCTAGGGTTTCCGGGGCTGTGGTCGAGTTTCGGAACGACTAACCGGAATACAAAGAACATGATTGCAGTAGCAAGCAAAGCCTTCTCAGCACCTGGCCCTGACTTGCAGAGACTTTGTTCCCAAGCGTCCTAGGTCGCAAGGACGAGCCGCAGCTCGAACCACCTCGGAGAAAAACAGGTTCACGAGAAGCAAGCACCATGCAGCCTAAGACTGTGTTCTGAGTCTACATACTGTGCATCTCCAGAAACTGCCAATACACTTGAAGCTCACTGTGAAGCCACGGGGATGCAACAGCAACAACCCTTGGCTTCTAGCAGCAACAAAGCACGCGGCCCAGACAAGGACCGGTTACGAGAAGGCTGCCACAGCTCAACGCACTAGACAACATTACCCTGCAGATGTAAATCTATCTGGCTGAAAAACGTTGAAACTCCGTCAACACTGTCGAGGGAAGAAAGCAACGAGGATCCCACTTTAGTGGCGAAGACCCTCTTGTCTTCCTGCACAATCTGCCGTCACACGATTTCTGCTGGAGATGGTTCATGACCAGACGCCTCCTTCGTTTTGCAATCATGTCCGGCCTCCCCATCATAGGGCACTGCCGCTGGTCTGGTAGTGAGGCCCTCAGTGGTGCAAAGCTGAACGGTACCATACGGTACCCTGGCGCTGTCTCGCTCATCAACACTAGTTGCCTGACCAACGCTTCAATGTGGCGAGTGGACTGGCCATGCGAATGTCGCTCTTTTTAGTCCACTGCAGCTGCCACGTCAGCTCAGATTTCTCTACAAGTCCAAGCCGTTTGAATGCATCAAAGCTTGCTTCGCGGGGCAGGCGATAGAGCATGCTGTCGCAAGAATTCCACCATGTCTTGCATGACTTCTTCTCTACATGTCTCGAGCAAAATCTCGTGGCGCCCATCACCGTAAGAGATGCGCTTGTGAATCTCCCGGCCGGCTGCTCGGAATTCGCTTGCAAGCTGCAGAGCAGAGTTGCCGCCCAGGTCGTTCATGGTGCAGGGATCCTGTCCGCCTTGGATCGACAACACCGGACACCTCGGGAACCTCATCAATGTTTCTTTGTTGCCAGCTGCCTGAACGGCTGCAAAGACGGCCTTCCAGAAACCAACGCTGCACTTGAAACCGCACAAAGGATCGTCCTCGTACTTCTGCACCTCCAATGGATCACGGTTGAGCCAGTCGCTCTCGGTTGCGTTGGGTGCGAACTCTTTGTTCCACTTGTCCATGGTTAGTGTGCTGATCAGAGGCGATATTCCTGCCTCCCCGCGCAGGAGGCCCAGGAACTGCAGCAATGGTCCAAAGGCCAGCTTCACGGCTGATGGAAGTCTGGCGGGTGCTGCACTAAGTATGACCGCGGCAGGTGCGGTCTTTGTAAGGCTTGCAGCGACGAGGGTCGCGATCGCACTCCCCAGGGAATGACCAAGGATTACCAACGGCAAAGTGTGGTCTTGCACGGCGCGCTGACAAAGAAACACGTGGTCCTGCACGATCCTCTGCACCACATCCTTCCCATTTTGCGCATCCATGTGGCCAAGCCGGTGACCCTTTGCACCCTTCTCCACGGCCCTGAGGGCTGTCTGCCCATGAGCCCGATTGTCGGATGCATAGACTATGAATCCCTCGGCTACGAAGCGAAGCGCCAAGCCTGCGTAACGCGCTGAATGCTCAGCTATCCCATGACAGATGTGTACAATGCCAACTGCCTTTCCTTCCGGTGCCCACTTGCGCACCAAAATGTCGCAGCCATCATCCATGGTCGCCCAGGACTGCTGCCCTGGTGGACCCCAGTCAACCTCGCCCATGGCTACGAAGGTACCTCTAGCAGAGCTCTTGTGGCCTTTGCTGCGGCAATGGAAGGAGTTGATTAAGCTCCTGAGAACAGGCAGCAAAGAGAATCTAGATGTAATCTACTTCTCCAAGAACCGGAAGTTCAAGCCCAGCACGCGATTGGCTGGGTGGTCCTGGAACGGCGCCATTTGAGCCATTGCCTGGCGGTCTTGCAGACACGGCTTCAAATCCTGCCCACGGCAATCAAATGACAAATGCCTGGGCAGCCACAGCAATACATCTGATGACGAACTCCTGCAGGAGCCAATCTGTAGCATTTGCAGAAGAAGCGTGCAAGAAAACACACCGCCACCGCACGTCTACATGATGATGCGCAGTACCATGCAGTACCACTACCCTGCGAAATGAATCCTCAGTAGGATCCCCAAGCAGTCCGCAATTATCTGCATGCACCTGGGACCTTTCTCCGTACCACGGCTGGACAACTACAGGGCTCTTCGGCCACCAGCTGATATGAATTCAGGGATTGCTCGTGACGTTGCCAGACTGCCGAGGGTCCAACTCACTGCCAAATCACATCAATTTTCGAGTGGAAGTTGGAGTTTTGATTCTGACCCGGCAGTGTGGCTGTCCCAATTCTGGAGCCCGTCAGCGCATTGGAAACCGTCTGAATGTATCTCTTTTTCAGTCGAGATGCCTCGTGCCTTTCTGGGTCGTTTCGGTACTGGAATGAGTAGCTGCATGCCGATCTATCCCATGCATTTAGCTGTAACGAGAATGGTTTGTGCAACAGAAACCGCATCGCTTCCGCCAACGGCAAACCTCTGCGAACCTACTGGCGAAGACCATCCGCTGATGGACGCATGTGCAACGAATAGCTCTTTGCGTTTCAGTGGCTTGGCAGATCGATCTTTCATTGGGGTTTGAGCTTGGCTTTACATTTGTCTTAGTCGGCGTGCACATGACACTTTCCACCGATAGCAAACATGACAGTACCTGGAAGCAAAAAAGAAATGGGAGGCCTCGGTGACTCTGTACCATTCGTGCTTCAGCTTGGCCCCAATACCTGATGGCTGGCAGCAAGCTGTCACGGCTACGGCTGGAAAGGTTGCCTGGTTGCATGCTGCTGGCATCCTGGACCATCCAACGTCATGACGTGGCCAATGATGCAGCAAGCAAACGAGTGGTTTCCATCTTCGGGCTTCCTAAACTCACTTTGCGAGCGTCTCGTCATCGGCAGGGGCACGAAGCTGCCACATGTCATCATCACTCAACTGCCCTTTTTTCGCAAGTTTTCTTCCTCTGTCGTCCACCTGGCAACTGCGACACGTCCAAACGCAAAAAGAGAGGGAGCTTCAATGTCTGTAAGCAGAAGTTTCGAACCCATGCTCTTCACAGCCTCTTCCTCTATCGTGGGGGCGACTTGTACAACAGTCCTGCAGCCGAACCTCAGTCAACAGCAACGCAACTTGATGGCCGCAGATATTGGAACAAGGCATCTGCCGAAGCCTTGAACATTCCATTCGACAAATGCAAACGAACTGGCATGTGCTGCTGGCCAAAGCACGTGCTCACGAAGCGCTCCAGTTCCTCACATGGTTAAATGCCGCCATTCTGCATGGATGGCGCTCTCCCAGCGGCAGCTGTAGCAGTGGGAGGAAGAGTAGGAGTAACAGTAGCGGTAGTGGTGATGGTAGCAGTAGTCGTAGTTAGTGGTGGTGGCGGTAGTAGTATAGTAGTAGTAGTTTTTTGTCACCCACCTAGCACGGCTATGCCAGCTCCGCGGGGCTCTATGAGAGCGTCGACGACTGGAATGCGTTCAGCGAATTCTGTCAGGTGTCAAGAGCGAACAAGCCTCTTTTCCGGAAACAACAGCAAACAGAAAGTTAAGGCCACGGAGTATGAAGGCTTGTATCGATCCACGAACTTCGATCTATACACTCCCTGAAGCGAACCCGACTTTTCGCGAAAACACAACAACGCAAGTTAAGGCCACGGGAGTACAGTCGGTACCGCCAGGGTGTTTTCAGGTATTACCCCTTTCGACTCTGAACACAGAAGCTACCGTCAACAGGGGCGAACTACCCTACCAAAAAGTTTGCACGAGTTTAAAAGTGCACTCGGGTGCAAATTAGTAGAAGTAGGCTTACACGAAGAACCTAGCAGATGTACAAACAAGTTGCAGACGTGCAAAGTATATTCAGCTGCATAATTACTTGCAATTGCTTCGCGGGATATACATTAATTAAAGCAGCAGCTTATGTGTTGCAGACCTGTCAGCCTTTCACTCACTCACTTCTCATCAGCCGCGCTGTTGGTGATGCTTTTGTCACACATAAGTGGACAAAGGCCATCACACAACGACGCATCAAGCTCCCGTCCGTCTCAAGTTGTGGCATCGCCAGTCAGTCCCGATAAGTGTCGGTGACTCAGCGAGTCCGTGGGGCTCAGAAGTCCTGAAAAATGTCGATGACTCGGCGAGTCCGTGGGCTCACAGCAGGTGCATGTATCTGGTTCCCCGGTTGCTGCCCAAAGGCAAGGCAAATAGTAGTAGTAGTAGTAGTAGTAGTAGTAGTAGTAGTAGTAGTAGTAGTAGTAGTAGTAGTAGTAGTAGTAGTAGTTTTTTTTGTCACCCACATGGCACGCCAATGACAGCTCCGCGGGGACTTAAAGGTTCACAAGTCACAAGCCCGTCCCCTGAGAGAAAACACCGGAACAGAAGGTAAGGCCACTAGTACGGGGGACGTCACTTGATCTGGCACTACGAGGCTACTCACACAAAGCACTGCAAGGAGCATCTCAACCAGATTCAACAACCCATAATCACAACAAACCATAACCCCCAGGTAAAGCTCCGCACCGTGCCAAACATGGGCAGCGAGAAATACTACTTACTTCATCCACTCATCAGTTTGTCTTCAGAAGCGAATTTCCATGCACATTTACTTGGGCCACTAGCCCAGTGCAGACTAGGAAAAGAACCCCAGTAGAAAAACCATTACATAAAGTCCACCACACATTGACAACAAAACACGGGTTATGGTCTGCACCGTTGTGACTACGATCTACAATCAGTTCATCTTGGCAAGAAAGGGTGCAAGGTTGTGTCAGTTCACACGTGAATTAGATCGCTGTCGCACTCAAGAGTTCGGGGAGAGTCAGAGGCATATAGTAGGTTAGGCACAGTAACAGCAATGCCCAAAAATTACAAAGTAACAATATATATATATATATATAAAAGCAAAGCCACCGAGAGCCCACCTACCATCCTCTGACTTGAACTACAGTTACGGCCTCACATGCTGTACATCTCACTCTTCACAGTTCCGGTCCGCAGCCTTACAAGGGGCATATCGCCTCTCGCAGTGTCACCAGCCGCATCTTTGTCTTGTTGTGTCATCAGGAGTGACGGCATCTGCAGACCAGGGTCGCTTTCATTTCCGTCGTCATAAGCAGGTCTGATGGTCTGTAGCGCTTGAGGGGTTGAGATCGACCCAAAGCTTGACATGGCGTCGCCGTGAAAGTTCACATATGCCAGAGTTGTACCGGCTTGGCTCCCAGTTTAACGGCAACTTCAGACCAGGGCCGTTTCCACCACAAAGGAACATATCGGTCGTTTTGTGTGGCTTTGTTCCCAGCTTGAACGGCGACTGCAGACCAGGGCCGTTTCCACGGTATGGCGTCGCCTTTGAAGTTCATGTAGCGAGGTAGCCAGGAATGTATTGGCCCAACTGTTGGCTTGGCTTTTCCCATCAAAACGGCAACTTCAGACCAGGGCCGTCCCTACCATATGTATTCAGCACGGTGTCACCAGTCCTCCATACCACCTGAAAAGGCCTCCCAGTTTAACGACAACTTCAGACCAGGGCCGTTTCCACCACGAAGGAACATATCGGTCGTTTTGTGTAGCTTTGTTCCCAGCTTGAACGGCGACTGCAGACCAGGGCCGTTTCCACGGTATGGCGTCGCCTTTGAAGATCATGTAGCGAGGTAGCCAGGAATGTATTGGCCCAACTGTTGGCTTGGCTTTTCCCATCAAAACGGCAACTTCAGACCAGGGCCGTCCCTACCATATGTATTCAGCACGGTGTCACGAGTCCTCCATACCACCTGAATAGGCCCTTAGGCATAGCACAGTTTGTATTGGAGGAGGTCGGGATGGTGCAAAATACGGCAACTTCAGACCAGGGCCGTTCTTCGTTGTCCTGTGCGTTGGCGCACATGCAGGTCGGCATCATAAAAGCGTCACCAGGAACATGGTCCATAAGATGTCACAGGTGTCACATGATCGCAGACTCTTCACCAGGTTTGCCACAGTGTAGTGTGGGCAAGGAAACCTCCAGGTAGTGCAGCTGTAGTAGTATGTTCCTCAACGCATGCAGAACTAGGTGTCTTCGGCTTTCCATGGCTTTGCGGCGCAGAGCTTGTGAAACATCAAGTGAGGGGGCGCAGGCCGTGGTCAGTGCAAGGAAAGCAGGGCGGGAGAAAGAGAGAGAGAGCAAGGGGGGGGAGGAGAGGAGACAGGAAAGAGACAAGGGCAGAAAAGCAGTGCAGCAGGAGTGCAGGGGCAAGGCAGCCAGAGGCCCAGTACAGTAAAGCAAGTGTAATGTGGAGTGGATACACCGGTCGGTGAATTAGTGGGCTGTCAACGGCGTGTTGCACACCGGTTCGCCCTTTGTTCCTGGCCAGCTTCAGGGCATCGGGTAGTTTTTTAGGTACGACGTCATGTTAGTACTCGTCACCGGACGACGCCTCAATGCAATAGCAGACTACGACGTCATGACGTCATCATCTTCATCGGGCACGTCAAATATATATTGCATCGGCTCAGCCAGTCTATGGGGCAGGTGTTCAGCAGGCGCTTGACCTCGGGTCCTAGAAGGCGGTGGCTGTGCATCGGATGGTTCAATTGGGTCCGGTTTGGGAGGTCCGAAAAACTGGCGCAGACAGGTTTGGCCACAATCAGGGGGCCGGAAACCAAGGCTACGGAGGGAAGCTCTACAGCGAGGGTCAGCGGAATGAATATTTCTAAGAGTAAACGCCGCAATGCTAATACGGGGCGGGGTATCGGGTTTTCGGGTGTTCGGGAGTCCACAATGTGCATCCCTCGCGTTGAAGACGATTGCCTGTTCAGACAGGTTATAGATGGTCCCGGGGAGCATTCCAAAATCCGAATCCTGAAAGTGGTCGCCTCCAACCTGAGAAAGCCAAAAAAGACACGGTACAGACCCACAACCCGAAAGAACCGCACTAGGGCCGAGAGTATTGAGGTCCTTGTGTACCTGGAACTTACCCCCAACTCGAATACCGATTGTTGTGAAAGTAAGGTTCGGAAAGTTCATGTGCACAAAAGTCGTGACGAGCCGAGTAAGTTCGCAGCAGGTTTGGGAAGCTTTGGTACACTGACTAGTAGAGCGGGGCGAAAGGCCTAGCACAAGACATTTGTTAGCTTGCGGGGTTCGGATCCAAAGTTGTTTTGGGAGGCGGGCAAGGATCGGGTTGAGGTCAAGGGTGTTCGAGGGTATGATCCCTTCCCTGAGTTCTTCGTGTACCTGAGCAGCCAGAGTCTCCCCTTGAGGTCGAGGCTTCGGGGCAGCTTGGGTTTGCATGGGTAGCTGGTGTGTATGTTCATGCGCGCCTGTCACTCGAGAGGTCCTGAGCCAGAAAAAACTCGTGCAATCGTGATGTGAGGGAAAGGGGTCGTGGGAATGTGTACGGGTTAAGCTAGGACAAAGCGGTCAACGCAAGTTTTTGTTCCAGCAGCGCAGCAGTGTTTGCGAAAGTACATGCAGGTACATGCAACAGCTCCTAATTACAGTACAGTAGTAGTAGTAGTAGTAGTAGTAGTAGTAGTAGTAGTAGTAGCAGCAGCAGCAGCAGAGCAGCAGCAGCAGAGCAGCAGCATAAGCACCAGAAGTGGTATGTGGTGACAGTAGCAGCAGTAGCATAGCCGTAGCCGTTGTCGTCGGCGTCGTCGTCGTCGTAGTGGTGGCGGTGCTGGTGGCGGTGGCAGCGGTGGCAGCGGTGGCAGCGGTGGCGGCACTGGTGGCGGTGGTGGCGGTGGTGGCATTGGCGGCGGTCGTGGGTGGTGGCGGTGGTGATAGCAGGAGCAGTAGCAGCGTGGTGGTGGTAGTCGTAGTAGTGGTAGTAATGGTAGAAGTCGTCGTAGTAGAAACAGTAGTGGCAGCAGCAGGAGCAGTAGTAGCAGTAGTAGTCGCAACAGTAGCAGCAGCAGCACCAGCAGCAGTGGCAGTGCAGCAGCAGTAGCAGTAGCAGCAGTCGCGGTAGCAGTAGTAGTAGTCGTTGTCGTCGTGGCGGCGGTGGTGGTTTTTGAAACCCACAGGTGGTGGTAGTAGTAGTAGTAGTAGTCGTCGTCGTCGTCGTAGTAGTAGTAGTAGCAGTAGCGTAGTAGTTTTTGCCTCATGCATGGCTGATGGATCGCGAAACAAGGTTAGTTAAAAACCATGGCGAATTCCCCAGCCAGACTCACAGAACCATGCATTTGTAACTTTACCCACTGTTGTTCGGTAGACTGTCACCAAGCGCCTAATTAACTCAGCAAAATGCCGTCATTCAATGCAATTCGTGCCCCATGTCATACATGACGGATCAAGGCAGTGAAAGACATGCAGATCGAACACGAGAAACTTCGTTCAATTCGTGACCTCCGTGAAGAGTGACCAAGACCGATCATTCGCACTTTACCTCCTTCAAAGGCAGTCGCAGTAGTAGTAGTAGTAGTAGTAGTAGTAGTCGTCGTCGTCGTCGTCGTCGTAGTACTAATAGTAGTAGTATAGTAAGCTGTAGCAGTTGTGGTGGAAGTCGGGGTCATGGTAGTGGTCGTCGTCTCCTGCCACTACTACGACGATGACGACGGCTACTGATAAGTGCAATGCTACTACGCGGACCACGCCAGGCAGGAGTACAAGCAGTGCAGGATACCGTCTGAGGCATGACACCCGTTCAGCTGCCAGCATCTCCTTTATGGTCAAAGCCTCAGAACAAGCACGCATTGCCAAGCAGTCGACCCAATCCTCACCATCAGATTTCACGAGCTGCAGTCCACCGATCCAAGGTCGAGGCGATAGTCTGCTCCGAGCGTACATGGTTCCTCCAAGAGACAGCAACAAAGTCCAAGTGTGTCGGAACAACTCCCAGACCCATAGCCTCAAAGTCACCATGTACCATCGGTTGATAATGGCTCTCCTGAGCGACAGGGAGCAGGAAACGGTCTTCAGAAAGGATTCGCCACATGACGGCAATGGAGCAAATCGGATATCCGCGCCTTTCGGCAGGTGGGATCTTGTAAGCTCGGAAGTCAATAGATATTTCACCTGAAATGGGAGCTGATACGACACACGACTCGTCCAATCAGCCGCGAACTTCGTAAAAACGCACGATGCGCCTCCTTCGACACCAGCTTCCAACAAGTTGAGGAAGGCCTTGCAAAGAAGCATGTGTCTCGTCCAGGAAAGGGCTTCCACATGCACCTGCTTCAATCCCCAGATCTTGCCTGCTTGTCGCGTTTGGCTTTCCCAGACTGTAAGCCTTTGTACTGCCTGTCACCAACCACCGCACAATGGGCTGCAGATTTAACCTAATCACTGACCGAAAGCCCATGACGTCTCTGATTGAAGGACTATGTATCTGACCCAGGAGGGCTGGCCACATGCCACAAGATTTAAGCAATGCCTCTTGCCCTGACCACCCATAGCTTCCGTGGCTGCTAAGTCCTTCTGCTCCTGGCAGATGCATAATGCAAGCCCTGGCCAGGTGGCTCTGCAAACAATCATCGTGTTTTAACAGGTCAATGCCAGGGCGTCCTGAATGATGGCTTGGGCCTTGTTGCGGAAGAAATGGGATAAGTGGAAGTCTTCAAACCTATCCAACGATGGCACCAAAGATGCCTCAAGTAAGCACTTCACACACTGACACGTGCCTCTCCCACTCCTTCTCACAAAGCCCACACCTCCGCCTGACAAAGACCAGGAATCCCTATCAAGTCATCCATGATACAGCCACCTCTACTTGCGCCTTTTTACGGTAAGGAAGCGCTTGCACCATCGCTGGAGAAGGGTGACATTGTCAACAAAGCCTTTCATTGCACTCCTGGCACATGCAATTGGAGTGCTTCCTGCGACGCCGGTGCCATTTCTAGCCGTTTTTGCTCCTGATCCTAGACCATTCACCCATCTGTCGCAGGACCTGCGGCCAGCCACGCGACAGATTGACTGTGTTGCCCGGCTACGGTTGGGCTGCAGTCAAGCGGCCATAACACAGATATTGGCTGACCTCGTCTTTCTCGAGAGCGATTTTAAAACTACTGCAAACTCCGTCTGGACAACATCGTCACAGCACGCGGGCCCCAGGCGTGTGCAGGCGTCGTCTGCGAAACCAGAGCAAAAGCCACTGTGTTAACGCCTGGATTGCTGACGACCCTATGCTCGGAACCACGCCCCGTGAGCTCACCCCCGTCACCCGCCACCAATGCGTTCCCATCTCCTTCACCCCCCGCACAAGGATGGCTTGGTGCTTGATGGACGAGCTATTCCTAAGACGCAATGAACGAATTGAACCAGAGCTGCATAATTTCACTAGGCAGCCGGTTATGGATCGTCCACATGATTCTGCTGACGGCCGTAACTTGTAGCACTCGCTGCCATGTTGGCCTACGAAGCTTGTACAGCTTGTGAGTTCTTGCGTTTGTCTCCGTGTGGGGTTGTGATTGCCAGCTCTGACCGCGTCATGTGTCATACAGTGTCTGGCTAGTAAGACCATGTAAGACCGAGGACCGTACAATACACGTAGCCTAGTGACATCTAGTGACCTACAGGCCCCGACGCAGTAGCGTCCCTTCGAAGCCCAACTCACGACATACGATGACCAGCCTTGACGATCGACCACCGCCTTGGCACATCAGTTGGAAGCTTTGACTCCAGCTGCCCGAATCGTCAAAGGAGAAGACTTCCTGGAGATGGCCCGCTGTGTGTCGCTGCGCTGTAGATCTTTCTGAGAGACAGGGTCACCATGTGACGAAGGACCAGTTTTAGTCTGCACATGATCGCCTGGCTCTTCTTCTTGCTCATCATGCGCTGGACGGGATCTGGCGTGTCCTTCGAGGACCTTCAGCAGAAAAATGGAACGAGCACCTCTCACTGACTGGAGCCAAGGTTGGCTGGACCAACTAGGCTGCAAACACTGGATCCTGCAGACCAATTCGCTTCGCAGGCTCCGTCTTCCCTAGTTTCAAAACCACCAGATCCTGAAAGGCAGGTCCTTCGAGCCCAGTGATTCTAGCAAGGTGTAGCCACCGACAATGCCACCCCGTCGGCCACCATAGGCCTGACTCTCTGCATTCTGTCAAGGGGCTGCAGGTCCAATGTGCTCTGGTGCAATCCATATCCGGTTTCTTACCAGCAGCAGGGGAACACAAAACTACGAGGGTCGCGGCACCTGTGTACGGGAGGCATGCTGAAACCACCGGAGCGTGCGGGGTTTGAGACTTCGCACCGAGTAGCTGCTTTCTCAGGTGGCTTCAGCCTGCTTGGTAGTTTGTGTTGCTGTAGGCCTGGTTTGGATCTGGATAATTGCATCATCAGCATCCGCAGCGTCGCCACCAACATAACCATTAGAATCATCAGCATCATCACCAGTATCATCAATGATGCTGGCAGTTGTGGTGCTGGGTGTTGCCGGTGTTTAAGGTGTTGGTGGTGGCGGCGGTGCTGGTAGCAGCGCCGGCGGTGGCAGCAGCGGTCGTAGTGGTGGGCGTGTGTAGGCGTTTGTGCTTGTGGTCGTGGTGATGGTGGTGGCTGCCTTTGCATTTGCAATGTCGTTGCTGCTGCCTGCTCGTGTTGCCGCTGGTCTTAGTACGGGAAGCCGTTCAGGACAGAGTGATCCCAGAGATTGGACGCAACCTATATAAAACCTCTGAAATGACCGATCCGAAGCTAGCCAAAGCACATGAAGTGCAGGAAACAACTGGATCCGAAGCTAGAGAAGCCTGGATACCTTGCAAGTGCCGACAGAAACTCGAGATATGATTTCAAACTCCAGACGAAAGCCAAACTGAAAATCTGCAGGGTCCCAAGCTGCAGAACATCGCCACGGTGAAAAGAATGGTACGTGTGCAGCAACGCACCGCGTTTCAAATTGGAACACTACACTGGCTACACTCCTTACCACTGTGGTTCTTGGGCTCCAATTTGCGCCTGGATTCTCTGACCAATGAGGCTCGAGAGCTCCTCTGCAGCCGTCGGGAATCTTCCACTCTACTACCCAGGCGAAAGCAAGTCCTTGAGGAACTTTTGAGCAGCACGAGGGTTGCGGGCAATCAGGTTCGACACGGATATCCTCGCAATGCGCTAGACGAGGCACAATGCACTCCGTTTGTGTGGGACCGTGGGATCGCTGGCATTGCACTTGGCCTCTGCCCATGCGCATCGACAAATCCGGAGCTGGCGAGGTCGAGGTCGAAGGGAAGCATGTACTTCCACTCACTCCTGCAAGGCTGCAATGCAATCCAAGGCAAAGGGTAAGCGGTAAGCAGGCTGTGTCTTCAAGAGGAAAGAACTGCCCTGACAGCCTCAGCGTGCTCATTTTGTCGATCAGCTGATTCAAGTACTTGTCCTGGCATCTCCAGGGATACGGGGCCAGTAAGAGCCTTTTTGCAATTCCCAAAACTGTGTTTCTATCATCAGACGATCTCGTGCGGGGATTTCTTGAGACGGGAGGTGCTGGGGTTGCGAAGCTCAACCAAGATCCTTCGACTCCCCGAATCATTCCGGGTCATTGAATGGCAAGCGAGCTGGCATTGTTTGTCGTTTTTTGGGTGGCTTGTCCGGTTGATGTTGAATGCTGTCGAGTGCCTCGTGTTTGTCTGGTGACCTGTAGCGAGTTTCCCCACGTTCTTCTTGATTTTCTAAGTTCCTAATTGCTTCTGTTGTTCGAGAAATCACTGTTCCGGCTGTTTGCCGTATCGGTCCTAGTGTTACTAGTGTTTGTTATGTTGCTATTGGGTTTGTCTACGTCTTGTTCGTGCCTTCTTGTCGTTTATCTCACGAGGCACTGCTAGGTTCCGTTGTTGGCCTTTGTTGGGCCTGGTCTGGTGGGTTTTTGGAATTGTTTGAACTCGTTCCTTTCATTCTCGAGTTTTTGGCTGTCTGATGCTTGCTTTACAAAGCTTTGTTGCGGTGTGTTCGGCGCGATTGCGGATTCTGTGTCAACTTGTTGTGCTATGTCCCCTGTGCCGGTCTGTGGGCCCGAAACTGCCCCAAACTTGCTGGGGGGGAAGTAATCCTGGATTTGTGCGTCGTGATTGTCCAGAAAAATTTGCGGTGATAAGTTACAAGTATGTCTGTCAGTTCGTGCATCATTTTACACCGCGACACACAGTCGGAACAGCCGACCCGCGAAAGACCCCGCACCCGGTCAGTGCAAGCATGCTGCCTTCAAAGAAGAATAAGCCATCGTCTCTTTCTTGCATCGTGCTCAGAGCTGGTGGCTCGAAACCGCCTCACTTAGGAGCATTTCGCTGCGCAGGTTGACTTCTAAGAGCTGGCGACAAGCTGAAGGGATCTTGTAGGAGTTTGTGGTTCTTTGACGCACTTGCCCACCACTCCATCTGGCTGAAGGTGCGCATGAAGTAGTGCTCCCAGTTGGATTCCTCACTGATCAGACTGCCGTCGTCGTTGAAGACTGTGTGAGCGGCTGGGATATGGATCATTGCAGAAACTGGCAGGCATCCCAACTCTGAGAGTATGGGCCGCAGGGACACGGCAGCACGTGCACCTCCCCATTGACCTTGACTATATGTGCAAATTGCAGACGGCTTGAAAGAGAAGATGCTACTTCCAAAGTGGTTCAATGTGTTGAGCAGAGCAGGTGAAGCCGTGTGATTGTATTCGGGAGAGATCATGACGAAGGCATCTGCTGATCGAATTGCATCTGCCAGCTCCGACAAGACTCTTGGTTGCTCTCCGCGCCGGTAGGCAAACTCTGGCTTTCTAAGCAAAGGCAAGTCCAGCTCAAGTGGATCTACAACCTGCACTGCATGTCCCTGCTTCGTGAGCAATGACGAACAGTACGCTGCCACTCTGCTGCCCACACGCGTTGGGAATGGCGGACCTTCAGTGCGAGTGGTACCCAAGAAGCATAGAACAGATAGTTTACCAGCACCAACTGACGAAAAGCCTCGCACAAGCCTGCTTTGGAGTCTGGCTTTGCGCAGAAACATTATGGGCGCAACGGCTTCCTGGGTTTCTTGCCCACTACACAGCACACTCTTTGGATGGAAGTGCTGCGGCAAAGAACTGCCACATGTCCAATCACGTCTGCTCATACCTGCCAGAGACTGCCGAGGGCAGGCCTTGCGCAGCTGTTTGGCTCGCTCGTCTCTGGGAAGGTCTGGTGAGATATCGCTTGGAAACCTGCCATAATGCCGTTGACACCGCAAAAGTTCCATCGGGTCTGCTTCTATTGCTGACAGGGAACAGCGAAGTCTCAGAATTCCTGTCACCCGGATCCGTGAAGGTCAAGGCTCTCCGCAGCTTCTCACTGTGGTGCCTCGCATCCAGCCTCGACGCACTCAGCTTATGACGGTCATGCTTCTGCAGCTTCTAAGATTTCGCTCGAGCAAGTCTCGAGAATATCTCAGCACCTCGCATGCGGTCAACCTTAGTGCCGAGTATGGGACACACAGCGCGGGAATTTCCAGAGTTGAGCGACACATGTCATCTTTAGTGCTAAGATCGCAGCACCCCCACTTTCGTTCAGCATCTCACACTGGCTTTGGATTTTCCTCGGCTGAACCGCAGTCAGACTCGAGCATAACTGTGCAGAAAGTACAGGCCACCGAGGAGCAAAATGTCTACTATGTTCACTTTCTCTGAGCCACTTTCGCCGTACACCTGGAGCTCCGGTTTTGTCTGGAAAGAAAGCACTGTACAAAGACAGCAGCTGAAGCTTCTGCCCGCCGGCCTCGTACTTTCTCAAAGGAATAGTATCTTTTCCTTGCTTGGCATCCGGCTCATCCTCCTGCAGTTCACGGTGTTGCCTCTTGGCATGAAACACAAAGATTGGATTTGCTCCACCAGTCCTCATGTCCAGAAAATCTCCTCTTGTTCTCGATTTTCAAAGCCACCTTTCGTTTCGGGTCCCTGGCATCCAACGACCCACAGGCAACAGCAAGCAGCAGCCGCTTGTGGAGTCTAGACTCTTAGGCCACTCTTCAAGAGGGTAGTGAGATACGGCTGAGCTTGGAAACATGGATGTGCCATTCTCTTGCTTGGTTCAACGAGCTGTTGCCGCGAAACACAATCAAACACACACCCACACACACACACACACACACACACGATGCCAACCAACACAGCTTGCAAGAGCCTGCGACAATCACATATCGGAGTATCAGCCTATGCCTTGCAGCCTGGCAGAGTCTGCAAGGCTGCTGTGTACAGCAGTCTTAGACATAGAAGTCTTAGCTGTCGATGCCGATGTCTTGGATGCTGCCTGTTTCGCCTTTTGCTAGCTGCTGGCTTAAGAGTGGTTGTAGGATCACGGGCTCATCCCGAAGACCACCACCGGTTTTTCGAGCTACGTCGGGATAGGTCCATCTTTGAAGAGCTGCAGATGTGCCTGGCCATCTGTTCCTTCTTCCTGGCCTGATGCTCAAACGCTGTTCTGGGCTCATGCTGGTCAAGCTGCAACTTGAGCAGCGGGCACGGCGAAGTTCTGCCTCTCGCCGTCGGCGTGCCTACAAATAGCTGCAGCAGACAAGAAACCGCGTAGTGCAAAACGTGTCCGACCTCTTCAGCTTTTGCAGCAGCCCGCTCCTCCATGCCTTCAGCCCGGTGACACAGAGTGTATTGTGTATTCTGCAGGCCTCTCTCGGCAGTGTGAGGTCATGTGCACTGTCCCACTGCGTCTGGAAGACTTGCGCGTTCCAGATGTTGGAACAAGATGCTGCGAGCAAGGTCCTTGGGCAAACTGGATACTTGTGAACCTTGGATGCGGGCAACATGCCAACCCTTCTCCTGTATGTGATGATCCACATCGGCCAGATCTTTCAGGAACACCTCCTGCATTCAACACAACTCTGCCAATTCACATACCGAAACCCAGCGCCCAGCACGCCCGACCTGGTCTACCAGCTCTTCTGCCTGATGCAAGACACTCTTGGTGGGTTGCTTCTGCAGCACGGACCGCCATGGAGAGAGGGCAGCAGACCTCGAAAGCCTCACTCCCATCGTTGGCGGAGGTCGTGCCACCAGCACCTCGCACTTCAAGAGCACCACGAGATGAAACGGCAGTCTCTGAGAACACTCTCTCTCGTTTGTGCAAACATCTGCTGAGGTTCTTGCTGCCAGATCGGGCATGCTGTACAGATTCAAACCTTGCTGAACAAAGAACGTCAAGCCCAACTTGTTGACAGGGCTCTTGTTGAAGGCTCCGGCCGAAGAAAGAGCTGCTCTTTCTTAAAATTCTCTTTTCGAGCCGGGTATGACCTGAGAAGTCTTTTCCAGTCGGAAAAGACAGTCTCGCAGCCTGCATCCCAAAACGCGCAGAGACTCTCGAATCGCCCTGAGATGCTCTGAGCACCCTGCAAGCCCTGATCCAAAGGCGGTGCATCTGAAAGAGTCAGTGATGCCTCAGGCTTCCGTTTCCTTGCCAACAGGCATCTACTTCAATAATGCCTTGGGTCACGACCTGCTCATCCTCTAAAGAGCTGAGCCTGAAAACCATGAAGCTCAAAGTACTTAAGTCTTACGGATCTTACGGTTTCCATGTTTATGTGCAGGACTATGGAAATGCGACGACTATGACTCATTGTTTGGTAAGCACAGTGCTCCATTTGGATCTGACCCTGGAAGTCTTTCGACAGAGTGCGATCCTTGGTGACCGAAAGGTGTTCAAACAGCAAAGCACCCCCCTGTTCTCAGGCAGCCGCGAACTCTGCCAATGGTTGTGCCCACTTCCTTCGCGCCGACTTGAGTTTTCCTTCTTGGAGAAGTCCCTCCGTGATCGGTTGCTCTGTGATTGCTCTTCAATAGCGTCATGAGTATCTATTTACGATTTGCAGCCAAGCTTTCCGTTCATTTTTCTAGTGGTGTCGCTGCTCCATCTCACTTTTCCGACAAGCGTAAACATGATCCTCCGTCTTCCTCCTCCCAAACGCACTTGCAGACTACATTCCGTTCTTCCGGTTGTGCAGGCGACATTGTTCAGCAAAGCTGGGCAGCCTTCGTCGCCAGTCTTTCGGTCAACGGCTTGTACTGAGATGCTTTATTTCCAACCCGTACTGAGGCCGATGCGTGTTTTTCATGTGTTTTCTCAAGCATTTGTCCATTGCACTTGCTCGTTCACTTGCTCGTTATTTTCGGTGTTGCTTGCTCTTCTTCTGCCGCGGATCTTTCCGTCTCAAAACCTTCGCTTGACTTCGCCGGCGAGTGTCAGAACTACACTATGTCCACATGACACCCCAAGCATGAATGCCAGCAAGGACGTGCCGAGTGCAAACATATTGTGGCACAATGTGGCACATAAAATGCTGGGCGACTGGGTGCAGAACCTGCGCGGGCCGCACGAAGATCTGATAGAGCCTTTTCCGTATGGCTTCTTGACTTCCACATGTTGCACAAGCAACAATCTAAGCTCTTCTCATGCGTTCGTAGGCAGATGTCGAGGTGGTTCAAGTCTCAGAGCCTCTTTGGGCCGAGGTACCTGGTGCTGAAGCCTTTACAGCTTCGCCCGCTGCGTCCTCAAAGCCCGTTTTGGGCTGCGAAGTGTCCAACCCAAAGGGTAATCTGAAAGGAAATACACGTCAGCAAGCGGTTGTCCCAACACGTCCTGTCGCGATGCAAAAGCTAAAGATCCTCTCTGCCAACCGATTGCACGACAGTCCTCGTACAGGACATACACGGGCTTTCTTGCGTATTCTGGAATGAGGGCCTCGCAAGTGCAAAGTCAGTTCAATCATAATGCCATGACCCTGGATCCCCGAGTTCCAAATTACTGCAAAATCTGGATGGCCTTGACGCAGTCAGCCTCTGCATCCAGCACGAAAGCCCGCACAGTGCTAGAAAACAGCACCACGATATTTCTGAACTGCATTGTCGTAGAACTATACCTGAGTAGGGAGACGCGGATTTCAACAAAGAACATAAAGACTGAAAAATGATGTCTGCAGAATGCAATACAGATTGCGCCAGGGTTCTGCAAGGGCGAGTCGGCCTGGCAGTAGCCCAGATGTACCGGGAAAGAATCCGGATTCCTTTCAGCCACAGTGAATCGTTAGCAATGCAGCATGCAAAGCACCGGACAACCATGCACAGCCAATTCGGGACACACAATATACTTCATTATACTTCTGCATTATTCCGCATTCCAAGAAACATCGCCGGGTATTCTGCGGCGTGAAGCAGCAAGGCAACATCACCATTTCGACGCTGCACGAAATGCCCGTGAAAAAGATCGAAGCGGCTAACCTCTTTCCAATCTGACGGACCAAGTGTCAGCAACAGAACATGGGCATGCGGCTACCAACTACAGCATGGTGCCTGAACGTGAAAACCTGCGTTCTGCGCCGCGGATACGGTGCCAAAGATGACATCCCTTACCATCTCGTCGATGCTCCGGTCTTCCAGGCTATATACCTCCTCGGTGGGGCAACACCTCACCACAGGTGCCAGTAAACACGTCGTGCACAAGCCTCATCGACCAATCTGCAGCGCTCGAAGGATGGAAACCTCCATTCAACACATTTCAAAACACAGGTCACGCACGGTATCTGCAGCATCCTATGACATTCTTCCAGCGTTGTACTGCCGAACATCTAGGTCGAAGTCGAGAGGACCAAGCCAAGGCACCCCCACTTCGGCATCTTCCAGCGTCGGATAGCCGTCGCCAAGATGTCGCCTGACTGCACTGGCGGCATTGGTAAGCAAAATAAGAGGAAAGCAACCAGAGGCTGCTAGAGGCGCAACTGCGACGCGATCGGCCTTCTGGAACTTGCCACCGTTGCTGCAAGCAAAGCTGCCATGCGAACCGAGAACTCTGTGCATCAAGAGTTTGGCCTCTGTCCAGCCTGGGCTTCAAAGTTGGTTCCACCAAACAGTGTGTGCATGAGCCACTGCATGAAGACTGTCATGTACCAACCCGGCACCTGTAAAGAAGTTGGTCAACTGCGAGGCCATCGCACATCGCAAAAGCACCAACGCGACATCCAACAGCCGCGCACGCGAGGCATCGAAGCATCCATGTGATGCAACACTCTCACTACAAGTCTAAACTCAGCTGGAACAGCCGCTGCGACAAAGATATCGAGCAAACAGGGACGGAATTGAGTCCGCTCTGACGCTTCAGTTACCACGGACTTCCGTGTGCGCGTGTCCAGCCTCGACTTGGCACCGAAACGTCACTTCCGGCCGAAGTGCTCGGCCGATGCTCAAGCGGCCTCACTTCTTCATGGTGGCTGCAAGATTCAACATTGCTTTGAACAAAGCGCCAAACTGCAGCGGCGATCTTTTCTCGGCCGCTGGAAAAGCAGGCACCTGGATGCCACAGTACACACCATGCAGTGCTTTCTACGTGCTCATCGAACGCACTGGATCCGGGCTTTGGGCGGAAGCAGACTTCGGAAAGTTCGGTTGCTTCGGAAGCCCTCGAAACCAAATCAAAGCATGCGATCATGCCACAAGCAAGCACAAACATCATCGTCATGCAACGCCATGTGCAGTCTCCTGGAAGTTGTGCATGTGATGACACGACCGTCGGTGAGATCAGAGCCTGTCAATCCCATGCCCACGTGCATCGTTTCCCCACGCGACACTTGCTTCGGGGGTGGCACCTCGCCCCTGAGCAGCGGATCATCCAAAGACTGCAAAGGTTTTGGCGGGGTAGCCCACACAGGCCTGTCGGCAGAACAAAGCAGAAAACGTTCCCGCAAGCAGGGCACATTGCTATGAGTGGATCAGCCCCACACCGGCGCAAACGACCCGAACCCGAGAGATTCCCGGTGGAATCAGCCATGGCAATAAATTCGCATATACTTCTTATCCAAGCAAACCACGGCGTCCTTCTTTAAGGAAACATGTCTGAACTATGAGAGACATGGATACTGCTGTCACACAGCTTTCGCGTGGCTCTGAGAAACAATTATCGAAGACTCCTGCCGCCTTTGGCGGGAGGTCGTCTTACCAGCTGCACCTCGGTTGCACTGCCATTCTATCTACATCTGCAAAAGCAGTTGTTGCCATGAAAGCTTTGCAGGATCCTGATGAACCCCGACTGCAATGCTGCCCAGGCACGTTGGCAGACTGTCACCCGAGACAACTAATAGGAACCATGGGTAAACAAGACTGTGACTACATGCATTGAGCCTGCAGACATGAAATCGGCACACGTTTCACCCTGTCACAGTCTGCTGGCTGGCATGCGCAGCAAGCAAAACCGGTCGTGGCTGGCACCGACACATATTGTCGATCTCCAACGCCGCAAACCTCGGCATGTCATGTCAACCTCACTGCAGCTCACTACGGAATGGTTCGTGCTCATTGGTGCTTCTCCAACCACCGAATGGGCCGAGACGTTGCCAGATGGACACTAACTAGGACGCAAAATTGGATCTACGCTTGCACATGCAATCGCAGCAAACCAACGGGACGTCGACGGAACAGCAATAACAAACACAAGACAGATATGTGATGCACCAGCATCAACAGCAGGAGCTGCAGCCACAGCAGCAGTATCACCAGCAGTGGCACCAACAGCGGAATCGCAGTTTAGTTAAAAATTGGAAAGTAAAAGATGATCGAAATGATCGATGTTCTGGCCTCGAGCGTTGTTGAGCGCTTCTACTAGCTTTGTCTGCGTTTCTTGTTCGTGTTCGATTTTTTCGGGTTTCCCCGCTACAGTACGAATCGGCGTTGTAACTTGTTGTTCGATGTTGCGTTTTTTGCTTTCAAGCTTCTCGATAGTTTTCATGTTGCTGTTTTTTCGCTTGCTTATTCAAACTGTTTCTTTTGTGTTCGTGATGTTGTTTTTTTTCTTCTCGCGCTTTCCCCGTGCAGCTTGGAAGATCCACGATGGGCGCATCAATGGCTTGTGTTCGGCTGCTTTGAAATTTTCTCCCATTTTCGGTGAGACAGCACGAAGTTGGACTACACGAAAAACGGCGGCTGGGCAACTCTCACTTGCCCCTGCTTCCAAAACCGAAACCCCGATCCTCGAGCTGAGAACGCAACGGCTTCGCACGCCACCAACAACCAGCTACCAGCTCAGGGCTAGTTGGTGTGTCTGCGCCGTGAAGTGGTTCGCGAAACAAATCCTTTTTTTTGCTCGGAGAAGCATTCAACGCGAAGTCGGGGTCGTGCGGCCCATTGTGACGGGCGTATCCCGCGGTCAGCGCAGCGGGGGGCGGCTTGGGCCAGCTGGCTCAACGAGCGCCAACACGTGGTCCAACGCAGGCCCGCACCCTGCGGCGCCGCTGGAGACCAGTCACGGTGCTCCCAGGGCCGTGCCGCCAACGGCATGCTGCGGCATCGCAACAGAGGGCGAGGCGCTGGGGCGAGGTGCCGTACACCACGAGGTCGAAGCGTCGGCGGTCCGTTGCGACAGCCAATGCGAGCCTCGGCGTGCCAAAAAGCCGCTGCGTGTGCAGGCGAGGGCGTGGTCGGTTCAGGATTCCAGCCGTCTTCGGCATCCATGCCCGTGTTGGCCGCAGATGCCGGGGCCCAGAGGCACAGGCAAACGGAGGCGTCTGCGAAGAGCGATTTGCATGCATGACCTCTGGCGGCAGCGAGGTGGTCCTGTCCGTGGGTATGGCTGTCAGCCACGCGGCGGCTTGTGGGCCCGACTGGGACAGCAACAATGCCCGGTGAGCCGACTCCAGGGTGGGCAGTACCACGCGATCGCGGAAGTAGAGTGAGCGTCTACGCGACGCGTGGAACTGCCAGCCGTGAGGCCAAGGCACACGGGGCTGCGCATGAGGTGCTGAGGAGTGCTGCCCCAATGGGGCATTCCTGCCAGCCCTCGCTTCGTAGTACGTTTGCGGCGGCGTGGGTCGGCTAGCGCCGCCGCGCTCCAGCGCTTGAACACGTTGCCGTACGTGCCAATAGCCCAGTGTGTCCGCCCAGGCACCCCAGTATGCGGCCGGCGCAGTGCGCATGGCAGACTGGAGGCCCAGCCCACCCGTTGCTGCGACGGCCCAGGCCGTGGACCCGAGAGGCTCGACTTCCTCCGTTTGCTCACCGAGGCACACCTGCAGCGTCGCGCAAACGGCTCGGTCGCGTCCCTCTATGTTGCGCAAGGCGTGATTTGCCCGGGTGCTCGCGCACATGAGTAGGAGGAACCACGCACACTGCAAGTCCGGCAAGTGCGGCAAATGGTCCAGCAGTGCTTGCTCTTCGCGCAGGCGGCGCTGTCCCCATTCACGCACGTAGTCGCCGTGCCCGATTGGGACTGGGCAGGGGACGGTCGCTGCGCCAGACCTCCTCACCGAGCTCAGCGGCCCCGCACGGTGCCGGACCTCCGGTTGTGTTGTAAATCCGCGTTTTCCCGACGTTTGACGCGATGCCACAGTGCTCTTCGACACGAGTGGCGACTACGTCCAAGGCCGGCTTAGCTCGCGCCGAGCTGGTGATGACGTAGAGGTCGGCCAGGTAAGCGAGCAGTTCTTCACCTGGCCTCAGCTCAGCCTGCGCGCACCAGGCCATGATGCTGCCCAAGGGAGAACAATGCCGGGGCAAGTGCATCTCCTTGCTCGCAGCCTTCTGCCTTGCAGATGTCACGGCAGGTACCGGAATCATCCCACCAGCAATACACCGATGGCTGCGCGTAACACAGGCGCAGAAACGGTAAGAGTGCAGGAGCGACCTGGCGAAGCTGAGGAAGGCGGCCCTGGAGACTGTGTCGTACGCACTGCGGCCGTCCAGCGAAACCACGGTCACATCTGGGTCAGTCTCCAGCGCGATGCGGAAACGTGCCACCAAAGCATCCATACCGGACCGCGCGCTCAGGGCGTGCTGAAAGGGACGAGTCGCCTTGTCGAAGGTGCCCGCCCACGTCTTGGCCAAGGCCCGCGAGACTAGGCATGACTAGGCGGCGAAAGACTTCGCCTGTAGCAATGCCGCGGACGCCCCCGTCCTGCTTTCGCATTCTCGCCAGTGCAGGGCTGCTGTCTGTGACTTTGGGCTGCCGGAAAAAGGTCCGCGAAAAAAAAAAAAAAAACTGCTAAGACAGTGGGTGAAGCTGCGTACGCCAGCAGCTCGTCGAGGCCATCAGCATCCGCTAAGAGTAACTTGAAATGCTCTGGCCGAGCACCGGACAAGCCCGGCTTCTCGCAGCGTTTGCGCGACCACCGACGTCGAAAGGCTGGCAGCGTGGTCGGGCTCGACGGCAAGGAGTTCAGACGGGATGGGCGCACGGGGCCTTTCCGTGCGCTTGGACGGGTCCGTCAGAGTTTTTTTTTTCCACACACGTTTATCCGCCAGCAGTTGTGTCCGGCTCCACAAAGCACAGAAGAAGAGTCGGTCCCCGATTAGGGCCGACTTATCGCAGCGGCAGGCGGCTCAGCCTCTGGCCCGGCCAAGTCCAAGACCACATCCAGGGCCAGCACATCGGTATGCGCATGTAGGCGCCGGTCCCGGCATGGCCCTAGCACGCCCGAGCGCTGTGTGGCCGACGGCTTTGGGTCCGTGGCCATTTTGGCTCAAGCCATTTTGGCTCAAGCCATTTTGGCGCAAGTGCCGTTTCAAAAAACTAGTTGACCCGCAGCCTCTGTTCGCACATGGCATGACTTCCCTGCTCGCCCAAGTGGTTGCGTTGGGGGCGTCAGTCGCGTCGCACGGATGGCCCGCGGCCCGCGTTGCAGCCGGCCTATACCTGCGACTTGGCGCACGCAGCGATGGTCTGCTCGGGCATGGATCCAAGTCTACTTCTCCGCCGGCTTCGCTCCCTTGTCGCTCGCGTGGGGCTGGCTACTTTTGGGCGGTACCTGGATGGTTGCTCTGCTCCAGCTATAGCGCCAATGCCGCGTGCACCCGTGACGCGAGCTCCAATCCAGCCGGCCGATGCGCCTGCGAGCGCAGCCGAGGAGGTACTGCGTTGTGCGGCCCTGGGAGGACAAGAGGAGCTGCGCGCCCTTGCGACCGGCGCGGGGTTGACCCCGGCAGCTTTGGCGGAGGCCTTGGCGACGTCCACCGCCGCCGCGATGCCGTCGCACCCCCGCCGCCGCAATCGCCCACAGTAGTGGACCA